TCCCTGTAATGCCGGCTGCTGGAAATGACGAAGGTTCAAGGCTCATCTTGTAACTCTGAGCTTCGTGCATTACTTTATCGTTCATTTCGGTTACTTTCTTAAGCCAAAGGTCTTGCTGAGCAATAATTTTTTCAGGATTTTCCGTTTTTCCCGCTAACCTAATTAATTGCTCATTGACGTCGACAGCTTTTTCCAACGCAATTTTACATTTGTAAACAGCATTATCAATTTTTGTAGTGCGACTATTATTCTCAATGTACTCAAGTAATAATGAGTGACCTTTAAGCAGCTCATTTTCTAGATTTAGACGGGTTTCGAATAACTTGCGTATCTTACTTTGGAATTTTTCGTCCATGTTTTTCACAAATTGACAATATTCTACGGATGCTCACTTATAGAAAACAATCAATAAAATGAGATACTGTTTTGGTACGTAATCAAATTTGCATTAATAAATCAACATTAGCTTACAAGACGGGGGAACTTGACGTCTCAAAGCTTCTACCTGAAGCCTATTTCTTATAGCTTTCCGAGCTTTGAGGGGTAAGCGGTTTCGCTTCTTACGTGCCTTAAGGATGTTAAGATTAGCGCTATAACGCCTTAGAAGGAGGAGAGTCTTTAACTCAAGGGAAGGAGGCTGGTGAAGCTCTTTGTACTTCTCAATTAGTACCTGGTCCTTAGCCTTACGCTTAGAGATAAAGTCTTTAACGACGTTGAGAACGAGAATACCTGTTGAACCTAAACTTTCCTCTATATCCTCGGTTCCGTTCCGTCTACAGTATACGATCGCACAAATGTTTGTCCTATACCTTAATAACAAATTGACAAGTTGCTCACTACTCAGCTTGCGGTTATTGTTGCTGCGGTGCCTACTTATCGAGTTATTAATGGCGTCGTGCCAAATTACAAGGTCGTTACGGTGCGACAAGTAGTGATGAAGGTAGTACTGTATCGTTTTCTGAGAGTCCCTAGCGTTAAAGTTCAAACTTAAACCTGGCTTCGTAAAGCAAGTATCTTTGACGCGCTTCTGGGACGGAGCGGGAAGTTTTCGGAGCGCGTGATCCAAAGAACTAGCTCCTAGAATGAATACCATACACTTAGGGGACCTATGCGACGGCTTCGTTACGCTTAAGTACCAATGGGGTTGGGAAATTAAGTAGGTCGGTTGAACTCCAACAACACACACGGAGTAAACCTGAGGATGAAAGAATTCAACTTAACTCACTTAATATCACCGTACCTGACCACTTAACTTTACTGTCACGCAACGAAGTCAATAATATGACGGGCTGAAACGGCTTTGTTTTACTCGAAGCGAACTGGCTTTCAGTTTCACCAATGGTGGGTGGGGGATCAGGCAAATTGGTTAAGTTCCAACAACACACGCGGAAGAAACCTGAGGATGAAAAAACTCAACTTAATTTGCCTGATATTTCGCTACCAGACCACTTAACATAAGGTTGGTTTCATCTTACAGCACAATTTCGCAGAATTCTGGAGACGTTTTGAGGATTTTTTGTTAATTTTTTACTTTTTTCACAAAATTTTTCAGTAAATTTTGGTCAGCAGGTTCGAGTCATAAACCAATCCAAAAAACTAGTCCAGTACCTCTTGTCTATGTTCCGATTTCACTGATTATTATTCCGTTCACATATATCCAAAAATTTTTGGTATCGAGAAAAAATGTCAAGTCAGTTTGTCTATGTACCGACTGTAAGATATTTCAGTTCAACGGAACTGTCCAAAAATTTTGGGTATTGAGAAAAATTACCGGGGGCTAGCTTGCGGAAAAATTTCTCAAGATGTATGACAGCGTATAAAATTTTATAGCACAATATGAGAGTTTTAAAAGTTTGTCGAGTCTTACAGTTTTGAAGATTGGGCGGTCACCGGTCTTACACGACACAGACGCTCTCTGCAATCCGCAAGAGACCCTCTGCAATCCGCAACAGACACTCTGCAATCTGCAACCGACACTCTGCAATCTGCCACAGACACTCTGCAATCCGCAACAGATGCTCTGCAATCCGCCACAGACACTCTGCAATCTGCAACCGACACTCTGCAATCCGCTACAGACACTCTGCAATCCGCAACAGATGCTGTGCAATCCGCCACAGACCCTCTGCAATCTGCAACCGACACTCTGCAATCCGCTACAGACACTCTGCAATCCGCAACAGATGCTGTGCAATCCGCTACAGACCCTCTTCAAGCCGCAACAGATGAATTCCGACCGACAGCACTCTGTTTGAGCCACCTGCTTTCGTACAACTCTGGGGATTCTGCCAACTACACTCGTGTCGGGAAAACTGTCCGAGAAACAAATTGAAAGGGAACTATCATCGATCTCGTGTCCCTTGTGGGGTGCCAAAATATGCTCGCTAATCTCCAAAAAACTGTTCCAAATCCGTAAATTAGTAAGAGATATTTCTCGGCAAATAACTCGGTCAATAAAATAATTTCGGCATTTTTCTATTGATCAGAACATCATATAACATTTTTTTCATCTGTCCGTTTTTGGTACAAAACGGCGCAAGCTAGCCACAAGAACCGGTCGGTAATGTCCTTGAGACAAATTGCTCTTTTTGGCGGTCAACCTTAATCAAGGCTGAACCGAATTAGAACCAAAAAACAGTAAAAAAAACGGTCAAATGGGGCTATAGCCCCTCGGGTCTACATGTTTTAAGGTCTGCATATGGGGGGACTCGAACCCGGTTGACCGGCGTGAGAGACTTGTCTCTAGGCCGCTCGGCCAACTGTGCTTATTGTTGTTACATTTTAGTTCAGTTTTATATGCATCTATACTCTACATTCTATACTCTACATTTGCATTGCAACATGTAGAGTATAGAATGTAGAGTATAGATGCTCTACATTCTATACTCTGGAATGATGTCCAAGTATAGATGTCCATGACGTCAATGTCCATGTCTGGAATGATGTTCAAATTGAAGAAAACATGACGAGAAAGTCAACTTGCAGCGTTAAAATAAACTTTAACAAAATCTACATGGCTGTGACTAATCCCACTTAACTTGGGTAGGACCTCGGTGAGTCAAAACATTCACATTTCGCAACCCCCCCCCCCCCTTTCGAAGAATGAACAAGGTTAACTAAACAGATATACTAGAATATTTGTGTAATCAGAAAGTACACAAAATCGGAATTGGCTTACTAGCAACAAAAAAGCCACTTTCGCAAAGAATTGATATTCACAAAGCAGACATGCTCAAAAGACTTCTTTTGGTTGAAATCTGCATGCTGACACGAAACACATGACTGATTAAAATCATGGTTCAACTGAACCGAAAATCATTTATAACCACCAAACTTGTAATAACTACTAGCTAACTGGCTTTAGTATTAACTGAACGGTTTGAAAGGGATTTTTTGAAAGAATTTCACAAAGCAGAAATATTTCCTACAAAAAATTTGTAAAATGGGAAAATTTCCAAAACAAAACATTTTCACGAAACGTTGTTTTTTTGAGTATTTCAAATTTTTCTAAAACAGATATGCAAAACATTTATGAACCTACAGTCCCAGTAGTTCTCCTTAAGATGTACATTTTTCATGTTTAAATTTTTGACTCTATCTATCAATTCTAATTGGACACAATATACTACACAGTCCAGGATATACAATATGACTGATTAGAATCATTGTTCCACTGACACGACAATCAGTCTGCTGATCTCCTTTCCAACAAACTTGTTAATCTGCTTGACAAAATCACGATATTGCAAGTGTCCGCGAAACGATCATTCAAAACATTGCGAGTATAAAGCAGATGAGCTCAAAAAAGAACCCTTTTTTCACGTTTTTAACATCTCATTTTCAACATCAGAAAAAACATTCATCGCCTTTTGGAAAAATTTGATTTGAAGTGATCTCAAAAAATGAAAGGTTACAATTTTTCCTGAAAAAGCGACAAGATTAAGATTACAAGATAAAGAATAGAAATAGAGACGGAAGTGGAAAGTCTTCTGAAAAAGTATGTTGGAAAAATTACTGGAAAAAATATGAAATTTTTGTGGGTGTATACGTTTCGAATTTTTTCAAAGGTTTGTATCAGATGATGTTTGTATCGGAAAAAGATACACCGAAACAATTTGGTCAAAAACTTTTTTAATGTGAGATTTGGCATACTTACAAATTAGAGTACTTTCAATAATTATAGAAATGAAACTAACAACCCATGCTTCGGGAAAAGAGAATTAAAGACTGTATCAGATAATTGAAATTACATTCAATAACAATCGGAAAATGAACCGTCGAAATCAGGACGAAAACTCAAATCCCAAACGTCAGCCAATAGACAGTTGGACAAGTTAAAAGACTTCAAGCAACCTATGAGTGACACTTTTTTGACGAAATTCGCTCAATTTGAGAAACCTGGATCAAAAAGTTTTCACTCCGCTGGGAAAAGTCAAATTGGGCTGAAACAGAAATCAAAAGTCAACCACGAAAAATTAAATTTTTTAAAAATAAAGACACAAATGAATTTTCACTTCGTTCATTGATTCAATAAATTCAACATTTTTAAACAAATTTACCGCCTCAAATGAATTCCACCTAATTACTACCTAAATTGAGGTTTTTTGGAATTTTTAAGAGATTGATCATATCAGCAGCCTGCAAGTGAAAGTAACAGAACGTATTTCGTAACTGTACAGATTTGTATGAGAAGTTATTTATGGAAAAAAGGCTATCGCAAGAGAAAAAACATAAGATCTGATTTGTGTTATCTTCAGTATTTAAACAATTTGTCTTCGCCTAATTTTAAATTAACCTGTCGTTAATAGCCAAAAGAATAATCAATGTAACTTAAGTTAATTAATCGTGGCCTCGATTTGTTTACCTGATTAATTGGAGTAATGGTTACAGCATGCGACCACCACCCCACTGCACCCGGTTTGAATCCAGCTAGGAGCCTTTTTTACGTACTCAAATGAACCCTTATGCTAATATATTACCATTCCAAACAGATAACTCACGTTTGCTGATTGACGCATTTTGCACTCGCACTGTGCTTTGGGGAGTCGAAGCCCGGAGGCAGCTCCAGAATTGGCTCCCTCAATTTCGGTCTCTCCTCGTCACCGGCAAATCCCGGAGGAGCGTCCAAAATCGCCTCGCGGCTTTCTTCTTTTGTCTTACTTCTAGGCTGCTCTTCGATCTCTTTCAAAGTCAGTCCACTAAATGAAATTTCTCTGCTACTGTTATTGGTCTGGTCAGACAAGGACCTGGCCTCTACGTTCACCTTCGACTTCTGGATGTCGTTATTGTTGCTTTCGAAGCTCATCCATCCATTACTGTTCTGCAATGAATTCGCATCCTCGTTACTGACTTCATCGTTGACTGCAGACAAGATACTCTTGATGGAGCTGACGGTGTCATCTGAAACAACAAAATTGAGCATTTTCAAATGTGTTCTGGCTTCCACAAGGAAATTTATATCTGATAACTGTTTCTTAGCTTCAACATCTAGATACTAACATTAATTACGAAAATATAGCTGTTGGAAAATAAAAAAAAAACAAAATATTATCTCTTATTCTTTAAGTAGCCGGATGATAACAAACAAACAATAAAGTTGGCTGACTACCTGGGTCGTTTTTCTTCTTTTTCTTTTTGCCACTTTTGGTCTTTGGTCTCACCACCATGAAATTGGGATGGATAGATGGGTTGCTCTCTTGCAAGGAAGGCATGTCCGAGGAGCTACCCGGTTGGCCTTGATTCCACACTGAATTAGTGGACCCAACAAACCCACTGCTGTTCATATTAGACGTCAACAGTCCATTACTACTACTTGATTGAGCATTTAGAGACACAGTGTTGTTCTGCTGAAGAAGAGAGGGCGATGATTCGACTTTGTGCATCTTTGCCGCGGCTGCTGCCGAACTCTTTGCCACTGTCACTTTCGGCTGAATGATTGGAGAAGAGGAAGAGGAGCCCCATGCTGAGTTCACGGCGGGTTTCTTCACCTAAAAGAGAAAGATGATTTGAGATGCTTTCACATTGATCGATGGCTCGAAACTCCTTTTATTTTTAATTAATCATTTAAATAGAAGACTTCAAATAAACCCAGTTTTGTAGAAGCAGAGAGTCATTCGCAATTAACAGCACGCCAAACAAATTGATGAATTTCTCCACTGAAGGCCAATTATTTCAAAAAACAAATTGAGAGAAAGGAATAATTTTGAAGCAATTCCAAGTAAGAAAACTCAAAGCTATTTGGATTTTAAAATATTTTTTCACAAATGTTGAGACCAGTTTTTCGATAACATTAAAACAATTTGAGAAATAAGGGTCAATCAAAAACTTTTAGTCACGCTAGTCAGTTTCCACTTTCTTAATTGGGGAGCGTACTGTCTTTTTAGCTACTGAATTTGAACTCAACTTGACAAGAAATTAAAACCAAACAAAATTTTTTCAACCAAACAAATTCTCAATCGGTTCTTTTTAATACTAAACAATCAAAAATTGGAAATTTTTTCGAAGATTTTGCACTTTATTTTAAAAATATATTTTTTTCTCAAGCACGCGCTTAAAGAAATTTCGAAAAATTAGTTTGCTGAAAAAAACTGATTGAAAAGACAATTAAAAACCTATTATAATTGTTTCTGCCTCGTTTCGATTCTGAGGTAGATCGGTTTCGGGTAGCTGGTTGATTGACAACATTTTATTTCAAACGTAGTAAATTAACCGTAACTATCGGAAATTACAAGTCAACAAAGAATATCGAACTGACATAAATTTCGGTATTTAAAAGCAGAATTCAATGTCATAAAATACCCAAAATGAAAACAGTTAAGAATCAACTTTAACACAGCGCCTGAGCAAATTGTGAACTTTGTTTCGATCTTTCAGTTTTCGACTTTTTCACATACGGTGCTTCGTTAACCAGAAAATTCATTAGTTACGACCTTGGTTTTTTCTCGCTATGAATTCTAGCGAGATAAATAATTGTTTACTCGCTGGAAAATACTTTAAAACTAACTTCAAAACGGTTTTTCTCGCCATTGTGAAAACTTTTTGTGGACATTTATGAATTTCGTTCGCTTAGACAATTGGTAGTAAAAATCAAAAGTGATGAAATTTCAAAACTTATATCAGTCAAATTAGCCCTGAAACTGAGAGACGGTTTAAACTGTTTGATAACGGGAAACAAGAATTAGTGCTACAAACCAAACAAACTATATACACAGATGCGAAGCTGATCTTCGCACAACTTGCGATACAACAAGAATAGGATTTAAACAGCAAGACACTTAAGAGCTACCAAAGAGGACTTTCAAAGTACTAACCGTAGAAGAAACAACTAAGAAATCAACACAGAAGCAAAAGTGAGCTTCGCACAACTTGCGATATAAATATGAAGGACTATGATTAAAATCAAACTGAAAAAAAAATGAAAAAAGAACTTAAAAATCGTTTTTGACAAAAAAAAAATTGCAACAAAGTCCAAAATATCCAGATCAAAATTGCCTGCACCATTAGAAACTCTACAAAGAGCTTTGGGAATGCTATAAGGAAGGCAAGTTTTCAAAACATTCCTTTCTGCTGAACTGAGCAGACAAAAAAAGCAGACAGACAATACTCTAAATTAGCCAAAAGTTTCTATGTGCAAGAAAAACAGGTCTCAAACAGGAATCGAACTCCGGGGCTTTATCGTCTCAAGCATAAGGGTTACAGAAACTAGAAATAAAGTTGAACCATCGAGCTACGGGAACCAAGCCGACAAAAACAAACATACGCACGAAAGTCCGACAAAGCACAAAAACTCTTTGTTTGCAAAAAAAAGGGCCCGCCGGATTCTAACCGCAAGCCATTGCTATCTAAAACTGTTGTTTTACTTCCAAGCCAGATGGTTGATTAGATTTGAACTTAAAATAACCGAGCAGTAACAAAGTCGAAAATACTTGAGCAGAAACTCATGCAGAAAAGAAATTCAGAAAAACTCATCATATATAAAATGCCAGGTCCCTTTTCCCCTCAGAGCTCGCACGCTCACAAAATCTTTTTTTTTCGAGCGTAACGACGCAATAAAAAGCCACTTAGTCAATTTCAACTCAGATGTGAAGTTGCAGTTCACATACAAAAGCAAAAAAATGACCAATAACGCTACTGGAAAAAACTGAACGAGTAAAACTTTGAGTCAAGAAAACTTCTTAAATGACGCACGCCAATTATGAGTCTACAAAACTGGTAGGTGACGCAAGCCAATTATGACTCATTAGCAGCACCAGTCAAATTGCAAAAAAAGAAATTTACCAACTAACATGCCTCAATTCATAGCGTGTAAGCATTTTAACTGGTATACTAAAAAGTTCATTTAAAACATCCGATCTTGCCCAGGTTCGAACCTTCTTATTTCGTAACGGGTCTCCTTCCCTAACACTACGCTACAGATCCATGACACTTTGAAGTTAAACTGCTATTTGTTATATAATAATCTGTGTTAATATTCTTTGCATTGGCTGTACTTGATAGCTGTTATTGATCAAAATGAACACTTTCAAAATGAACACTTTGTCGCAACAATATTGGCGATTTAGGTTGGAAAAAAAGAGTTCATACTATCACACAAACTTTGCTTGTGTAACTAGGCCAAAATTTATAAGGTCGATGGAAAAGACGAAAAAAAAGGAAAATTTTAACAAATTGAGCAGCTAAAATTACAACCCACGTGAAAAGCCAATTTCAATTTAGCCAGATTTTTAAAATGCTAAAAGCAACTGCAGCGAGAACTGTTTACAGCTAAAATAAACGATTCTTAGATGTGGCAACTAAGCCGACAACGCATAAGCAGAGAAAACAGGCCGAAATTTTTGATCCGGAATTTTTACCACTTGAGAAAAACTGGTCCTGGTCATATTCGAACATAGAACCTTTGCCGTCCCAGGTGTATTCGTTACACCAGGCTAAAAGTGTTAAGAAACACTATGAAATTTGATTTCACTATAAAGCAAGGTACATCAGGAGTCCAACGAAGTTCTTTCTTGAATTAATCAGAAAAGAAAACAAGGATAGCCGGTTACTGTGCAAGTAGCACAGAATGTTCCGACCAGTCTTGAAAAATTACAAAATTATTTTTCACATAACCGTCGTTTTTTTCGGCGTGGTGTAATAAAGGAATCTGGGCTAAAAAGTACTGCTAAAGCATTTTCGTCCGTCATTGTAAAATATGCAAATTCGAAAACAATTTTTGAAGATAAACAAGAAAAACAAAAAAAATTTAATTTTTGTAATTAGTCAACATTTTTTCCCAATCGAGGAAAATTGAACTTCAATCGAGGAAAGTTCAATTTTTAAGGCTTAAATTAAGCAAATAAGCTAATGCAATCCTGCTTACTCGCTCGAGCAGGCTTACATTAGCTTATACACCGTTTCAATGGAAGCCTTTATCTCATATTTGGCTCGGTAGTTTTCGAAAAAAAAAGAAAAAGATTACAAAAACCGATCAAAAATTCATTTTTTTTCGATCATCAATTTGGTTTTTCTTAAATCCACAAACCACAAATTAGGGCATGGGAACCGCCTCTGCTTTCAGCACCCTAATTTTTAGATTGAAGATTTCCGAACCCTGATTTTTTAGATTGAACCCTCAATAACAGATTTGGCTATTAGTTTTCGAGAATTAGTGACAAAACTTCTTCAAAACAAAAAATTTAAAACTGAACGTTTGCGAAATCCGTATCACCCTTTCTAGCAAAAAATGGGGCAAAACATAATACGCAAGGAATATCTCAGCACCATTCTAGTTCTAATGAACTATCAGCCTCAGAATCAGCAGGTTAGTTTTTGAAATCGGCGAAATTTCAAAATTTGGACATTTCTAAGGCCATAATTTTTTTTCAAAACGCTATGCATAGCCGCTATTGAATGTAATATTCGCAAAACTGATTTTTTCTTTCGGTTGAACTCTTAATTTCGGATTTGGCAGGGTAGTTTTTGAGAAAAGTGAAGTTTTTAAAATTAACCAAAATCTCAGTAAATTGGCTTGTTTCAGGCCATAACTGTTTTCCGCCGAATTTCGGGAACAGCCACATGAGAAAGGGAAATACCCATAAATAAATTTTTGATCCAAACCATCTCCGATTCGTGCATTTAATATTTGAGAAAATGAAAAATTCAAAACAAATAGGCCTACATTCCCCCTACTGAAACTTTCGGAGGCCGTAGAACGTGAGGTAAAATGAAAAAAGACTAGAAAAAAAGCAGGCACATAGAAGAGCAGCCGGTTTTCCCATTGCGACCATTTTTTTTTCTAAAATCGGTTCAGTAGTTTTTGGAAAAATATATATTACGGCGATAAGTGCAAAAAATTTCCAAAGCGTCGCAAACAAAACGAAAAACAACAAATTCCATACACTTTTAGAATACAGGTTTTTTTAACAGGACCTAACACCACCCAAAAATTAAGCAGCAACATATGCTATTAAATTGTTTATGCTAAAATAAGATTAAGTATGATTAAATTGAAATATACCAAAAGTGCCACCAATGAGCACTTTTATTTGCGACTTAGGTTAGAAAAAATTCTTCGTAATAATACACTACGCTTCGCTTGGCTTATAAGGAAGTTGAAAAAGAGAAAGAATAAAAAACAAAAAATGCTTATTATTCAAGTTTTCATAGAGGTCCTAGAGGAGTTGAATTTCGGCATTACAATAATTGTTACCAGAGTCTCACTTATCTTAAAAGCACTACCGGACATTTTAAGGGGAAAAATCAGTGAATAAGCCGGCAGAATTGAAGCTTCCAATAAGCTGAAGATCGGCCAAACATTTTCGTCAAAATGAAACATTTAGGGAAAAAATTTCATGTAACCCCAACAAAGGATCCACGATAGCTGTATAATTAGCGTATGCAAAGTAGACTACATAATTTGGAGACTAAACCAACAGAACTTAAGTCGACAACCATGAAGCCGAAAAACCATCACTAGAAAATTCAAAACTCTATAATTATACACTTAGTAGGTTGATTTCTAAAATATAGCATGACAGTAACTAGTACCCGGTAGTTAAATTTGAAGTTTCATGAAAGTGAGCAAGTAGGCAGAATAAGTCTAGATTCCGCTTTGATAACGCTTTCTAATGGCAAGCCTAATAAATTTAATTTGATACAATATGCCGACGATTGTATGGTATAAGCTTCATCTAAAATAACGCTTTGACGCAATGTAATTTTCCTAAAATGAACCTACATTTTTTAGGGAGAACCAGATGAATTTGATTGCACCGAAAAAGAAAATAACATTTTTTTAGGCAGAAAACAAAACATAACCGATGGTCTTACCAGAAATGATTACTATTTGAAGAAAAGATCTGAGTGCAAATATTTAGCGTATTTCTAGATTCATCTGCCATTTCGAACTCAAACAAAACAAAAAATGGCGCAAGGAAATAGGACAAGATACAAATATATAACTACCCAGTATATCTTTGGTTGCTTAGTCTTCGCAGCTTAGTTTTATCACATTTAGATTCAACAAAATTCAACTTTTCACAGCCATTATTGCAATTTTAATGCTGTCTGTTCAGTTTCCAGATCCAAACTAAGGTCAGCCACTATGTTGCGTCGAAGCCAGTCAATTATCCCAATTAACCCAGAACTTAACTGAATTGTTTACTTAAATTAAAATCAAACTAATAAAAGGAAGGTTTTGGCAAATGCATTAAGAAAATCTACAGTTAGTCATAGAAGTGAAAAAAAAATCTAAACCTGTGAAATGCAATCTAATCCAATAAGCACGCAGACAAATGCAATGCAAGTTCCCTTTTTGTCAGTAGAATTCAATTACACAGAAGCGAAGCTGCGCTTCGCAAACACTTGCGAGAAAACGACCAAAAACAGCTCTATCAATTTAAATAAGAAAAAGTATAAATAAGCCTCGAATTAGCAAAAACTCGGCTGTGTAGGATTCGAATCTACGACCTACTGCAATCAAGAGATTTTGGATTTTGAGTCTCATGCACTAACCCCTCGGCCACTCAAGCTTAACAACCGACAAACATATAATATAGCAGCTACATATGCAAACAAATTGCCAATGCGATTCAGCACCAAATACAAACAGACCCAATTTTGCAAATAATAAATTGGAATATAACAAACTGAAGGCATCCACACTAACTTTGCATGTAACATATTGCAAAGCATAAAGCCACATTATGTATAAATTATGCATTTCAAAAAATTGCCAGATATATTAAGTTAAAAAGTTTCTGAAATCGAGTTTTTATTATTGTAATGTTGTTTGAAACAAATAGCTTATTTCAGTTCATTTGATGAATTAAAAATGCATCAACTGTGTTAATGTATAACTATTCGAATGTCAAAGCCCATGCTATCAAAAAGCTGTAAAAGTGCCCCTAAAGTGGCACCAATATTTGCGACTTAGGTTAAAAAAAAGAAGGTTCGTATTACCACACTAGCTTCGCAAGTGTAATGATTTGTTTTGAGAGAAAATTCTTATTGTCGAAAAATTTTAGTTATACGTACATGTTGAGTGATATTTAGTTTTAGAAGGAAATAATATATAAGTAAATTCTGAAAAAAAGATGACCTACTTTAAAGTGTTGTCTTCGTTGAATGGCACTGGAAAATCAAAAAAGTCGAACTGGAAAATCAAAAAAGAACAACAACGGCTACCGACATTGGTTGATTATACAGTGCTGCTTTAAATTAACCGGACAAAACGCGTTAAACTTGAAATTTAAAACCGGTTTTTCTCAAATTGGGTTGAGCTTAGGTGAAAACTTATGAAAACAAAACTTGCTTAGAATTTTAGCAGAATTAATATGGTGTAATTTGTTTTGCGAATTTCGGGTCCGAAATTTTACCCCAAAAATGGGTCTTTTTGGCTTTTCGTAGTTAATCAAAAATTACGCCACAAATACCCAGTCGATCACAGACATAACTATATCAAAATGAGCCCCTTACGTAGCTCAACAAACTTTAAGAAGAGTATATTCTCCAAAATATTGTATAAAATAATTTATTTTTGTTTGATAGACAAAAAATGACATTTTTACTATATAAAATACCAACTTTTTTATTTAAAAACAATTTTTAAACAATTTGCATTTTTTTGGAGAAAATACCCTTCTTATAGTTTGTTGGGCTACGTAAGGTAATTTTTGATTAACTACGAAAAGCCAAAAAGACCCATTTTTGGGGTAAAATTTCGGACCCGAAATTCGCAAAACAAATTACACCATATTAATTCTGCTAAAATTCTAAGCAAGTTTTGTTTTCATAAGTTTTCACCTAAGCTCAACCCAATTTGAGAAAAACCGGTTTTAAATTTCAAGTTTAACGCGTTTTGTCCGGTTAATTCAAATCAGCACTGTAGTTTGCTTAGTTAAATAACAACGCTTTGAGCTTATTCATAAATACAGCAATTTATTCAGATTAAACAGCTAATTTTACAGCGGTAAAGGGACACTTGAAGCTTTCTGTAGCGAGGCCGTTCAGCTGGGCATTGAAACGGACGTTTTGCAGATGGAAACTTAAGTTTTCCGCTGTGCTGTGTAAAAGTCAGTAATTTATCAAAAACTATACCAGAATTGTCACTTATTTATACCAATACCTTACTAAGAAAAGGAAAATTTCTGCAAATGTATTAATAATATCGACAGCAGGTTATAGAACTAGCCGTCAAACTTAAAAAAAAATAGCCGATTGGTCGACTACAAAAACCTTTTTTCACTTGACGTCTAAAAAATTAAGTATTTGCCCGTAAATTACGGAAATTGGACAACACCACTGCCACATTCAAGACAACATAATATTAGTTCTATAACAGTGAAATTCAACCTAATACACAATATAACATGTACGCAAACAAATACATGACATGACGTAAGTTCCGGTTTTAGTAGTATATTTATTTATGATTTGTTTTGACAGATATTTTTTGTTGAATGATTTAATTATATGCACATGTTATGTTATCTGAATCAAACAAATTTGAAAGTGATCAAATTGTGAACCTTTTTTTTTCCAAAAAAAACACGCCCTGTTCAAGTGTCTAGACTTCGTAAGGTTGGTCTTCTCATCTGCACAAAAGAATAGGAAAAGAAATTGGTTTGGACTTGCCTGCATGTTAGCACTGTGTGACTGTAATTGTGTGTTGTTCGTCTTCTTCATCTTGCTCTTCTTAATTGGGTTGTCTGACTGGGGCAGGGCGGGGAAGTGGGTCTCCTGCAGTCTGTCAATGCCCTTCATCGTGTTCGAGTCAAAGCCTCCCCAGAAATTAGTACTCTTTTTAGTCGTATTCGGAAGATCTGATTACAAGCAAAATAATCTAAGTTTTCAAACAAAATAATTGAAGTTTCCCGTTCGCACGCCAGAACAAAAAACTATTCGCACAATCTCCAACAGAATTGTTCGACAACTTTTCAACGGGAAGGTGTAGTATCCGCCGGGATTCCAACCCTAACAAGTGCTTGCTGGTCTTTCGCTTCATGGAAAAAGCGTGCACCTCTACATTCCGCCAAATCATTTTGTTTGCCACTAATATTTCTCGAGAAAACAGTGCGCGAAACAATCGACTCTCTTACCTGGAAAGTCTTCCTCCATGTTTTGATTTGGACCATCGGTAGCACCAACTGAACTCAACTCTCCATTCACTCGAGAAGCACCATTTTGATTGTTTGCACTCTGTTGATTCGCTAAAGATGAAGATGAAAACGCACCATGTTTCTCAACAGCAGTGGCAATAGTGGTTGTCAATTTGTGTTGTTCAGAGAGGGGCACTCCCTCTGCACGGGGGGGTTTGGAGGGGACCTCGAAGAAGCCTCGCTCCGAGGGAGGTATGTTCAGATCTACTTTGGGTGGGGAACATGCCATTTGCTGAGAGTTAGAACTCCCACTGTAATACCCTCTGTCCTCGTCTCCCCCTCGGCGATCTCGATCTCGATCTCTGCCTCCCCCGTACCTGAGAGAGTAAACCAAAGTATAGTTTAGTTTGCGCTAAGACTGTGGTGAATATCAACGCAGCAAGCAAACTTCAACGTCATTCAGCAATAAAATCCAGCCATGTGTTTTGCGGAGACAAGACAAGAAAAAATAAACTCAAACACGTTTTCTTAGTCAATAAAAAAACTTACTTATCGTGAACTTTTTCAAGTGATCATTGTTTTGATTGTTTTAACGTGGGCCAACCTGTTTCTGTTGGCACTCTGATTCTGATTTTGTCTCTGGTTCTGTTGGCGACTGTGACTCATGAACTGTTGAGACCCCCCCTGCTGTCCCCTCCTGTCATCCATGCCCCCATAATACTCTCCTCCACTCTGGCCCGAGCGGGATCCCAACCCCCTCTCAGACACCCCGCCGTCCCCTCCTCCTCCTCCTCCTCTGCCCCCACCTCCTCGCTGATGTCTACTTGGCCTTGAGTCTGAACTTGAACCTGCTGCTCCACTGTTGCGAGAGTAAGGAGTTTCAAATGCGAGTGGGATCTGCTTCAGCTGGTCTCTGATCTTCTTAGAGTAACTCTTCCCGTGTTCTCGCAATCTATGAGCCTAGAAATATTTATAATGTAATCATACATTGTTTCCAATCTAAGTTATCCTAAACATTGAAAAGTTATCTAATATTTACTCATTTACAAACATCCAGATTGATCGGACACCATTGGGCTGCTAGAGCCTGTCTTCGGGCACCTCAAGTAAGAAAAACGATAGGTTGTTTTGCAACTGCAACAAAAACTTTACTATAGTTGCCATGTTTTAGATTAAAAAACAAACCTAGAAACCAAAAAATACCACTTATGCTGTTTATATAATTGATGATCCCATTTTACTAGCATTTCAAAAGGTGAAGAACATCTGTTCTCTAAAACTATCTTTCAAGCAACTTATGGTTAAATTGTTTTTTTGTGACTGTTTTGATAAACTTGATCCAATAAGTAAAGAAGAAAACAATCAGAACTCTGTCCTGCCTGACTGACTATATACAATGACTTTTTCTTGTGACAGACTCTTAGCAATGATTTTGTAGATGCGTTTTCTTTATAATTTAAAGTACACTTGATGATATGTCATATAAACGAGTTGTTGAAATTTGTTTTACGATTTTTTTCAGGACTTCACTCAGAGTTTTTGGAAAATTTGAACAGATTGAATTTTCTTTCTGTGCGACAAACCAAGCTAGCTTGAAACTTTTGAAAAACCAAATCACAAAAGCAAGATTCAAAGAGCATCACTTACTTGAGCAGCAATCAATTTACTTCGACAAAATAACCTGGTACCCGCAGAACTTTGTAATTTTTCTTTTTCGGATGTCCAGAGCCTTGCTTTGCCAGAGACATATTTATCTTAATTAAAGAAGATCTAATTAGATTTATTTTTGCCATTTAGTTGACCGCAAAAGAGACAATGTAAACAAGGATAATGTCCTCATGTTTTGCATATCATTTCATCACTTGAACTTGGTTTTCTAGCCGCTCGATGCGACTAGAAAACCATACTTGGACTTGTTCACTCGTTACTGCCGCATGGGCTCAGTTAGGTGTCTACTGAACATTTAGTCCACAGTCAAATCTATTGGTGTTATGAAGTCTCTAGGCGATGGGACACAGTTAGTAGAAGCAGTAACAGCTAAGTGATTAAGTTCAACTTTTGTAATTGAACTGGCTATTAGGTTCTACGACAAGCGACTTTTCAGAATTTCAACACACAAAACCGTTTTCTAAAGCAATTAAATTGTCTTTGCTCGAATTAGACTATAGCAAATGTTAAAGAAAAAACTCATAGTTAAAATACTGTGTAAGGCTCTAGCTGCAATGTCAGAAGAAAGCTTTCTGTGAATAAATAGACTCTAGCAAGAAATGAACGTTTAGATTTTTTTATTTGTCTCTTTTTCCTAGTTTTAACTTTTACTTATTTTTTTATTTAATGCGCTTTTCATATTAGGGCAGCACCCAGTAATCCCAAGGGGTTTGCCAGCTGTCCTTTCTGAGTTTCAAATTACTGTAAATATCTTGCTTGTAATTTTTTGAAGTAGAAATTCTTCTTCTGTATAAATTGTTACTGAACATTTTTCATACTGAATTTTATTATCATAGCTGATAGTTTTCAGCAGTTTCTTTCATGTTAGAGCAGCACCTAGTAACCCCAATGGGTTCGTCAGCTGTCCTATCTCAGTTTCGACTTACTGTAAATACGTTGATAGTAATTTTTTGAAGTAGAAATTCTTCTTCTGTATCGATTGTTACTGAACATTTTTCATACTGAGAACTTAATTTCATAGCTGAAGAATTTTATTAAAGTTTTCTGCAGTTTCTTTCATAGATGACGCCTATAAGCAACTTGAACTTGAAAATTCGAATTTGACAGAAGAGAAAACCTTCGAAGCGGCAAAAAATGACTATTTGCACTAATATTTGCTGAAGTAAGGAATTAAGGAGGTGAGCTGACCTGGTAGTCGACGTCGTTGTTGAAGACAGAGGTGAAGAAGCCATAGTCACTCGCACAGTCTCCCTCCTCACACAGAATGTGCTCACTCTACAACAGAAACCAAACAGTTCATCTCCATTCGAACTCAATTAATTTCTCATGCATCCATAAATACCATTTGAAAAACGATTGCTGCTTCATCAACAAAAAAATATTGAGAGCAACTTGATTTTAAACATATGAGCATCATGGAGAGGGAATTAGTCATCCAGTTTGTCGTAGCCGTTCCCATCTTGAGGAGACGGATGACATCGGAAACCCTCCGACAGCACCCAAGAGTGATTCGAACACAAGACACTCGTATTAACAGCCGTGCGTTTTACCCACTCGGCCAAGTCAGCTCACATAATATTCATGATCAGATATGGCCAGTTGCGTATTAAGGGGGGGGGAGAGAAGGGAAACTCCCCTAAGTTAAGTAATCTGACATCATGTCAGCCCGAATTGTCTCCCATTTAGACCCTTTCCCTTTAGAATATTGATTTTCTTTTGAGGGGGTGGGGAGGTAGGGAGGGGTGTCTGAATGGCCCACCGGAAATATTGTACACTGAGGCGAAGCCGAGCTTCGCAACACTTGCAATGCAGATAAAATTCTGAAAATGAAGTAAAAAAATTTACTTAGTTGTATAGAAAGAAGTTCATAAACAGCCTAACAAAGAATTGAAAATCATTACCAAGCGTCGACATATTTTTGGGTCGAGACCTGTTTGAGCCGAAAACAACTTTCTGAAACAGATAATCGCATGCAAATATATTTGACCTCAAAATTATGCAATATAAGTTGAATGAGCTGCTACAACAAAAACTGAAGCTGTTTAAATATTTGGAAAAAGAAACAAAAAAATGAAAAAAAAGCCAATATCAGACTTGGTAAATTTACAAATTACTGAACTTCCATTTAAAGTAGAAAAAAACTGATTGAATTGGAACAAACACATGGTCTACAAACTAAGCCCAAGGAAAACCCTATCATATAAAAATGGTGTTTAAAAAAACGGAAAATGAACCGACAGAAACTAGGACGAAAAGCACGAACCCGAAAAAAGATTGAGAAAATTTTTGAAAAAGTAATAACAATCTGAGACGGGCTTTACCTAATTACTTAAAACTATAGTAGTTTTATTTCAATTTTCAAGAACTTGAGCATGTCAGAAAATGAAGGAGTCCAGGAGATATGAAATGAGTGCTGTGAACAAAGTTGTTTAAGGGAAAAAAGTCTAGTACCCGATTGCAACACCCTTGCTTATCGCAAGTGTGACCATAAAACTTACACGCAAAGTTTTAGAAAAAATATTCCATTTGTGTTGAATTGCGGCTGGAAGAGCTCTAATAAGCTAGAATAAAATAACTTTAGACTATGAAAACATGAAATGAACTTCAGGAAAAACAGTTACCATCATTGCTAAAAAGCCTATAGCCAAGCCTAAAGCTACCTGGAAATCTATTGCAAAAAGAAATGAAGAAATGGCAATGGATTAGAAAGGATTTGTTTTGCCTTGTAGTGTCTTTTGAGGAAGTAGGGGTCTGGGAAGAAGTCCACGAATCCCTGGTCTGCACAGAAGTGGCAGTAGTAGTGCTCCCTCCTCTGGTGCGTCTCCAGCTCCTCCGGATCGAGGAACCTCTTCTGACAGAACTCACACAGAGGGTGTCCCTTCTGGCCCAGAGTTTCCTTATCCCCTGTCTTATTATGAACGGCCAGCTGCGCTCTAAGCAAGTAAGCTTATATGTTCTAAAATCACACTACCCAATGTTGAATTTAATTGCATCGAACCAGTCCGACTCTAACACGTGAAAAAAATTGACAAAGTATCTCGAATGACCTCAAAACTCTTTGTGAGAGCATCTATTTATCTATCTGATAAAAGACACCTCAATTATCAAGTAATTTCCCTCAATTTTTGTCACTCTGTTCATTCGCAATCCCCTTTTAATGAATAGTTTCCGCATTCTAAACAATTTCTGTTCAGTAACAGCACGTTCAATCTTTTGCAAGTTCAGGTCTTGAGGGACTTACTAACTACCCCCCCCCCCCCGTGTTCAATTCATTGCCTTGCCCCACCTGTCGTAGTAGACATATTCTGTGGGGAATCTCTTGATGTGGACCAGACATATCTCACACAACTTGGTCTCGTGCATCTTCCTCAGATGTGTCTTCAGCTCCTCCTCACTCCTCAGAGTCTTCTCACACAGTTTGCACCTGATGGTGGTGAGATGGAGGAACTCCTCGTAGTTCTCCCTCGAGTCGAACACTATCTTGAACGTCTCATCCACCTCGAAGTACTTCTCTTTCTAGCACAACCAAACACATCCACACTGCACAGTCACTACTCACATCTCAAATCTCACTTTAGATCTCATTTTTCCAGTCAAGTAATCCGATTTGCAAAAGGTTGTATTTCCAATTTTAAATTATTTTAAAAAAATGATTTTTTTCCCCTATTATTGAAAGATTTCTTCCTATACGCAATTCCACGCGTTATAGTCTTCTTCTACGCGTTATAGAAAACTAAAAATTTCGCGCAAATTTTTGTGCCTAACAGTCCAAATGGGCAATATTCAAAGCTTATACATTTATTTTAAAAAATTGTTGCAGCTGAAGTATCTTTTGCTTTTTGGAAGACAACAATGGCTTTCAGATGATATAGCTAAGAAGTCGAAATTTGTCCGGAAAAAAACCAGGTGAGCACAAATATCCGTTCTTTATTCTAGCGACAAAAAGTAAAGTTTGAGTAAAAATTTTTGGTTTTTTTCTTATTATAATTAGCATGTATTGATGTTATAATGGTTAAAAAAGCGCTTTTGAATTGCCAAAAAAGAAAAAAATGGAATGCAGAATTGAGGATTGAGCGTGTTAACCACAACTAGAAACAGAAAACATCAGCCAACTTCCTTACTGAATAATTAGGGGATATTGTTAATTATTTGCTCCCCTTCGATACCTAGTAAGGAATTGGCTTCCCTGAAAATTGTTGTCGCCCAAACAAGGCAGTACTTCCGTTTTAATGTCTATATTATGCTTAATTTGATTGAGTTTGTATTTCTCAGCAGTGAACCTTCTCGCATTCCTATTGGTTGGCCTTATCTTAATTGTCGTCCAAACCTAACAAGGAAATGGCCGCCCTAGTGCAATAAGGGAGCAAATAAATAAAAAGATCTATCCAATTAGGAGCAACTGATTAATACAAAGTGTGTGTTACCATTTGTAGGATGCACTGGTTGTGGTCTGTGGCATTGGCGATGCAGTTCTGGTCCCAGTCCGGCAGCACTCTCTTGGCGAACAGCACCCACACTATCTCACTCCTGCACACAGGACACCGACTGTCCTTCTGCAGATACCTACACACAATACACTCCAATACATTCACCCAATACAACACTACACATTCATCAAATGAAACAAAGCAGATAAATGATAGAACGCTTGACTTTTCAGACACGTTTTGGAAACTTTCACTGTTTCAAAAAACCATGTTAACCCTAGCTGCAAAAAGCCATTATATTCAATGGTTCAACCAACATAACTTCATTTTATTCGATAGGCCGCAATGCTTCTCAGTCCATATTATGCATGTTTCAAACAAGACTGCTCGTATCAGGGCGATGCCCTGAATATTCCGACTGCATTTCAAAAACTATCTACTGGTGTTATCTTTTAAAAAAAACTAGCGTGTAACGCACCTCCGGTGCTTCGAATTTTTAACAAGTCATTTTTAACAACACAGTAATCTTATAGTACCCAACTACAACGCTGGGAAATTCAAATTTGAGTAACTTCAAAGTTATGTTTTCTAAAAAAAGATATTTTTTAAAACCAGAAAAAACGTCACACCTCAAAAACTACCAAGTTTTGAGCAGTCTTATTTGAAGGCAATATTCGCAATCGTTGACAGTACTCTGACAGCACACAACTACAGGGTTGTGAATTTAAATTTTGTGAATTGTTTTGTAATTTGAGTTTTCTGAAACTAAGAGTTTTTGAGCGGTCATATTTGGAGGCAAAATTCGCAGCTCCTGAGAACCTGAGACTACTCGGACAGACCCTACTACAGACATGGTAACTTGAAAATTTTCAGAGAAAATTAAACTTAAGTTTTCTGAAGTTTTTTTTGAAAAAATCACAAAAAACATCATATCTGAAAAACTAAAAGATTTTGAGCTGTCATATTTGGAGGCAAAATTCACATCTCCTGAGAAACTGAGACTACTCTGACAGACCCTTATACAGACTTGTGAACTTCAAAATTTTGGGAGAAAATCAAATTTAAGATTTCTGAAATTTTTTTGAAAAAAAATCACAATAAATGTCATATCTGGAAAACTAAAAGGTTTTGAGCTGTCATAGACAAAATTCGCAACTCCTTAGAGTACCCTGAGATAAACTCGCTATAAATATGAAAACTTCAAATTTTGTGAAATTTCTTTTTATCTAAGTTCTCGAAAAAGATGTTCTATTTCTATATGTAAGTTCTCGGAAAAAATCCTAAAAATGTCATATTACGAAAACTACAAAGATTTGCGCAGTCATATTCAGAGGCAAGATTCTCAATCCCTGAGAGTACCCCCACAGTTTCCAACAACAGGATTGAGATCTTCACATTTGGAATTTTTTAAAATGTGAGTTGTTTTGAAGTTTATGAAAAAAATCATAAAAAACGTCATATCTCAAAAACTACAAAAACTGAGAAGTGACAATTGCAGTCAAGATTCGCAACCCCTTAAGGTACCATGACAGCACACAACTACAGGGTGAGACTTTCAAAAAATGAATTTTATTTTTTAAATCAAAATTTCTAGAAATTTTATAAAAATCTCGAAAACTTCTGTATCTCGTAAGCTAAAAGGATTTATTTATTCATATATGGAGGCCAGAGTCGCAAAACCTGGGAAAACCCTGACAACATCCCACTATTGGTTTGCTAATTTCAATTTTGACGAAATAAAAACTGAATTTAAACTGGAAAATCGAAAAAAAAACCTGAACTATTGCAATATAAGATATAGCTTAAACGTGCAGTAATTTTTTTGTTAAACATGCAAAAAAACACGTTGAAAACGCTTAACCATGGCGAGATAGTGAAGCCCGCTTTTAAATATATAATAGATGATGAAATATAAAAAATATCAATCAAGATTTGAAAATCATCACCCCACACGGTATCACAAATACAAAGTGATATGTTTTGCGAATCGCAGAGTATAAAATGAACTAAACAGCATGCCTCAATTCTTCAAATTGGAACGGAACGATTTCTAAGATGGGTTAAATCTCCGCTTACGCTCTATTACAATGCTGATTAAAATTATCCGGACAACGAAGAAAACTTAAAATGCGTTTTCTCAAATTGAGTTAGTTTTTTGACAAAAAACAGACGAATAAAAACTTGCTTAAAATCTTAGCAGAATTATTATAGCGCAATCTATTTTGCAAAATTTGACCTAAAATTTTACCCGAAAAAAGCTATCAGTTTTGGCTTGTTTCAGTTAATGATTAATTACACCAGAACTACCGGATCAAATGAACCTCTTGTGTATCCCAACAAGATATAAGAGGCGTATAACATCAAAAAAAACTTGAGCAAAACATTTTAAAATTGTTTTTTAAATAAAAAAGTTCTGTTTTATATAGTAAAAATGACACTTTCTGGCTATCAAACGAAAACTTGGCTACCAAACGAAAATAAAAATGTTTATACCCATTTTAAAAGGTTATACTCTAGTTAAACTTTGTTTGGCTATACAAAAAGCTCACTTTGTACAATTTTACACAGAGGCGAAGTTGCACTTCGCATACGCAAGCAAAAATATGACCGACAACGCTACTGGGAAAAACTGAATGCGTAAGACTTTGAGTCTACAAAATTTCTTAAGTGACGCACTCCAATTATGAGTCAACATAATTACTAATGGATGCAAGCCAATTATGACGCGTTAGCAGTACCAGTCAATTTGAAAAAGAAATTTAACAACTAATATTCCTCCATTTATAGAGCGGACGCATCTTAACTAGTATACGAAAAAGTTCATTAAAAACATCCGACCCCGCTTAGATTCGAATCCTCTTATTTTGTTACGAGTCTCCTTCCCTAACTCTACGCTACAGAACCATAATACCTTGAAGCTAAAGTGCTATTTGTAATACAATAGTGTGTGTTAATATCCTTAGCATTTGCTGTACTTAATCGCTGGTTATTGATCTTATGCATATACTGCAATAAAAGAGTACTTTCAAAAAGAGCACTAATAATTGCGACTTAAGTTGGAAAAAAAGTGAGTTCGTAATATCGCACAAGCTTTGCTTGTGTAATTAGCAATTGATCCGGTAGTTCTAGCGTAATTTCTCATCTACAAATGATCGGTTTTGGGGTAAAATTTTGGTCTCGCATTTCGCAAAATAAATTGCACCAGGATAGTTCTGCTAAAAGTCTAGGCAAGTTTTGTTTCATCATATTTTTTCCAAAGTTAACTAACTCAATTCTAAAATTCAAATTCTTTTCGTTTTGTCCGGATAAATTAAATCAGCACTGGCACGAAATATATCGCGCGTTATTTGTCCCAAATTGGCAATCTTTAAAGCCACATAACTTTAGTGAAAAAGAATCACAGGTAAAGGTAAAATATCGTGTTAAATTTGAGCTCAGGGCAACAATAGATTTCAGATGATAAAAAAATTCCGTCAACACTGGCTAGTCAAAAAGTCTGGAGAAACAAAAACACACGAGCACAAATATTCCGTCACTTTCTTCGGAAAGTCGGATCAAAAAGCTTAGGGCGCACAAAAGAAGGAATGGGCGTTGGAAACAAGCCAGCGATAACTCTCTTCATGGCATTTGTTACCTAAGTCTGAGAATGCACTTGGAACAGACTGGGTGAGAAGGTGTGCAGTTAGCCACTGCATAATACACAATATCTTCAGCACACACCACACACTGAGAAGAAGTTGCAGTGCTGTTGTCAACAGATGACGTCACAGATTCAAGTCCATTATTCTGACTAACCGCCTCTTCTTCTTTCTTTATTTCGACAGTTTTCTCTCTTCGCACGCGAACGGCACGCGCAGGCGGCGAATTTCCACTCATATCAAATCTACAAGTTGAACAAAAAAAGAAACTATGGCTATGTTTGATGGTAAATTGAATAAACTTGGATTTAATTTTTCAATTGTAGTTGACACGTAGTTTTAAATTGCAAATTCAGATATAAAATAAGTTCCTAATTCCTTTTTCATTTCACGATATGAAAGCTACCCATTTAATGCTCGTGAAAAAAAACGCTGAAGATAATTCGTTGAAAACTCTTCTAATCTTGTTTGTGATAATTGAAAACAAAATCGCTAATGACGACGATGATTTTTATCTAAGATTTCAATTTTTTAAAAAGTTTTTTTTTGAATTTTCGATTCCAAAAAGGCGCTACAACACAAAAAAACTAAGGCTACTCGAAAAAAAAAACTATGTCTTTACAGTTTAAATCAAGCTATTGTAAGCTTTTAAGCCATTAAAAAGAGCTATTGTACGCCTGTTCGCTCGCATTATTCGCTCGAAACAAGACAAAAAAAGCAAAAAAATCAAACAGGTTTTTCTCGACTTTTGAAACTTTTTAATGTCGTTCGAATCACGATTATAAGTTTTTTAATATGATATATTACTCAACTCTCTCCGATGATTATTTCTGGTAGCTATTTTGCGTGGAAAACAAAAAGAAAAAACTAAAACAAACCTGAATACAAAATGCCTCCACCATTTTTCAAATGGTCGGAAAAAAACTTGACAATTTTCAAATGCAGACATGCCCAATTATTATGTTAGTTGATGATCACGAATTCAGTCATCCAGTGAACAATGATGGTATTTACGGAAAAAAATGTAGTACCCGGTTACAACAGCCTTGCTTATAGCAAGAGAAACTACATTTCGCATTAGTAATCACATCTAATAAATTTGACCATTTTTCTTATTCAAACAATTCTACACTATGGACATTCTTTACACATTTACATTATTCTCACAAATGAAGGTGATAATTAAAGCACAAACTATGATATAAATTAGCTGCTAATTTTGCCAAACATCTAAAACATCAGTAGCAGAAATTAGAATGCATTTGCAGTTCGTGGTTTGTCTTAAAGGACCTTGAGCATTTACTGCAAGTGAAACTGCAAGAAGGCTTCAAACTGCTAGAAGAAGCCCACCTATCCCCGCGACCCGATTTAGGCCTTGAAAGGGGCGAACAATGGTCTCTTCTTGAAGATGCCCCACTTCTGTCCTTTTCCGATTGCATTTGGGCATTTTTCACTCTTTCAACATAACTTAGAGTGCCATGATCATCCGATGAACTTTCGCTTTGTCTGCCAGAAAATGCTTTCTTGTCACCGAGATTTCCCGAAGACTGGTTTGGCAGGGCGCCTTTTGATTCACTTCTGTAATAATTCATCTGCAGTTCATTTATGAGAGGCACTCTTTCTTTGAACTCTGTTTTGGGAACTTCAGATTCAATCACTGTCCTCTCGCCACCAGCACTGTCGCTTTTCACACATCCTGAACTTGCACTTTGTTCACTTTTGGGGATCATAGCTTCAATTCTGGAGAGACTACTCTTCAAACTGGCGTTTAGATCATCCAGCTTCGATATTCGCAATGTATTCGAATATATTTGCTGCTCCATTTCAAACTTAATGCACCTTGGGTCGCTAGGGTCCAAACCTTGAGGCGCCTTTGAAGTCGGTTTCGAATCTACTTCCGTTAAATCTGGGAACAAAATGAGCAGATCCTGCTTTTCCTTCAGGCTGTCGATTTCCACGTTCAGCGTTTTCACTTCATCCTCATAACTTTTAATCTGTTCTGTTATTAAGGCGTTTTCAGACTCTAGATTTTTGATGAGCAAACTTTGTTCTGAGACTCGTTTCTGCAGCGGTTTCAGGTCACTTTTGGCCGACACTAATTCTTCTTTTGCTTCGTCTCTTTCGATTTCTAATTCACTCACTTCTTGCTTTAAACTCTCACACTGCTCGTCCAATTCTTCAAGCCGATTCACCAACACTTCCTGTTTTGAAATCATTTCTTCGTCTCTGTTCGAATTTACTTTATTTTTAACTTTCTCTTTCTTCAGAACTTGTTCGTTCTTTTCAATTTCATCTCTCAGATTTTTAATCTCTTCCTCAAACTCTGCGACTTTACTTCGTTTCGTTTCAATTTCATTTTCTGCAGAACTTAACTTTTCGGCTAAATCCGAACACTTTTTCTCCAACACTTCATTTTCAAGCTTCATTTTCTCAGCTGTGAGTATAAATTGATCCTTTACGCGGTTTGTTTCTTCAATTTCACTTCTCAATTTCTTTTCTGTACTTGTTAGCTGTGCGAGACTTGCAGATAATTCTGCTATTGTAGAGTCAGAGCTCATCTTCATATCAGAAAATTCTGCATTCAACTTTGACATCTCAATTTGACTTTTTTCACGCTCTGAGTTCAACTGAACGTCAAAATTGTTCAATTTATCCACAAGATCTTCGACCTTTTTCTTCAAGTCACAAGTTTCCATCGAAAAATTTTCCAACTTAACATTTTGGTCGCAGCATTTTTTCAGAATAGCGTTTAAGTCTTTGTTTAACTCGTTACTCAAACGTTCAACTTCAGTGACTGAAAGATTCCCAGTCTGGACAACTTCACAGTTTTTAGTTGCTAGAAACTTATTACCGGTTGATTTTAGTCCATAATTCTGACAGACTAGATTTAAAGAATCACACAGGCCAAAAAGACTCCTCTGCAGGAAGGAGCAGTTATTGCAAGATAGAAAGGAAGTCTGGAGAGTTTGACAAGACACTGAAGTTGAGTGTCGGTCTGACTTCGCCAAATACTTTTCGTACAACTCCAATGTAGGAACCAAACTTGCCTCGGAAGCCGTGCCATCCACTTCTGAGAGCCCGCCGCTAGTGCCATTCTGAACATCGTGCTGCTGTTTTGAGACATTTGCATTTCGAGTAAGCTCCAGAAAATCCAGAGTGACCTTTTCCAGTGCTTCCTCCAATGCGTCTGCATTTCCAGCTAGTGTTATATTTTTCTCTTGTGTTTCGAGAAACACTCGGTTGAATGCGCTCAACTTATTCCATAACTTTTTCACCATCAAGCCAGTTGACATCGACTGAGCTCTGGTGGGTCCGTTTGAAACTGCCGAACCAACTCGACTTAATTCCCTGTTCACATCCCCACCGAATGACGCCACCGTAGTTTCCAGACTCTGGCTCACAAATGTAGTTGCCAGATGGAGAAGATACACTAACCGGTCAATTACCAACTCGTACATGACTATGTGGGAGACCTGATTGTCTTCCGCCTCATTGGCATCGTAGTCATGCTCGCTTAGCAGTTCGAGAATGTTCACATCGCTGGCCAGCTGGTCTGGATACTTCCAGGACTTGACGTTCACTTGCATTCCCGACTGGACTACGGATTCCGATATTGTAGTGTGCAGATCTAATACGTCTTGGCGTAAGCTTTGAATGCACGCTTTACTCCCCAAAAGATGCGCCATTTCGACTGCGTCTTGCAGTTACAACATTATCTGAATGAAATCAACCGCTCATACAAAGGTTGACAGCAAATGAAGACAACAGGCAGTTGTTGAGAATTTCAATAAGCTAAAGGAAGCTGGAGAAAAGTACAACTGATTTCTTCTATTCTTTCCTTTTAATCTTCCAAGATCAAATTATACATTTTTTTAAAATTGGAAACACAATGCTGATTGACAATTTGTTGATATAAAAAACCCAATTTGCGGAAACCAATTTCAACAAATTAAACATGCGAAACAGAGCTTCGCATCACTTGCGATACCACGCATACATAGCATAGCATTGTAAGTTAGCGGAGAGACAATAAGACAATGTTCAACTTGAGAAAACATGTCGAGCAACGCAATCACCAGCGTTGAATTGACATTCACGCTAAATTAAGCTAAGCCGACTTTACATGAGCAGACGCCCATTGAGGACAACAATTTTTTAGGACAACAATTCAATTGCTGTCCTAAAAATTTTGAACTAATAAAACTAGAAAGCATTCAAGTCCCCACAAAGAAAGCACACACACGAATAAGCTCTTTTGTCTCTCATCAAATGACAAGTGAGGCAACTGAGCCAATGCAACATGAGTCGAAACCTTTTGCGCGAAAAAAAAACAGACAAATGATATGCCAATTTGTTTCATACGGAAAACTTTTCTGGCTATGCTAAAAGAAACAGGTCCCGGCCGGATTTGAACTCAACACTTTTCTCGTCACAGTCATATACATACTGCTAAGTCAATGGTATTGCAGATAAGAAATTTGAATTTCTATGAAACAGGTATGTTCCTATTTGATAACGCATGCTTACCGTGAACGTAAAATTAAAATTTAAAGAACTTAAATAACTGCCAAAAATTGGCTGTTTCCCATTCAAAATACTTCAAAAACATGTAAACTACTCTAGTGAAAAGAGAAAACTTTTTCAAACTATAATTTAGACAATCAAAAAACATCATTTTCCTTCTAATGGATTTGGACGAGACGAAAACCTGCACTTCAAACAAATACAAAATAACTCTTAAAAATGAGAAAAACATGAGCAGACAGTTGGAAAAGTGACACTGAACTCAATGAGACCAAAAAGAAAGAACAGACTTAACAAACTAACATCCGTACTTCGATGAAAAAAAAACATATCAATCACAGCCACATAATTTTTTAAAATCTTTGCTTTTGATTCTTTTTTTATTTTTTTCCTTAAAATTATACTATTTTGAAAAATCTTGATCAAAAGAATATTTTTTATTCCGCTTGGGTTTCTCAATTTGAAATTGTTTGAAACAAAAAACAATCACAAAATCAAGGATAATTGAGAGCATAAATAAAACCATAGAAGCGCGCATACGTTGGTCCAGCAAATTGCCAATTTCTCACTCCGCAAAACAACGGATAGCAGGAAAAACATCTTTTTACGAGGAATATCGGGCCGTCAAAGGATATAAAAACGTCTCTGAAACAGTGAATTGACCGCTTCTGGAAAAGTCGCTTTTCGCCGCTTCCGCTTTTTTCGAAGACGCTTTTTGCTTATACCGCTTTTCTAAATTATAGATCTCGCTTTTTAAGAAAACAAATTTTAATTGAATTAAATCAATTAGCTTTAAAGTACAGAAGATTCTCGAGAACATTTGCGCCCAAGCGACTACGTTTTTTTGAGAGAATATTTCCGCTGCCAGAAAAAAAAGTCTCTCGACAGTACCTGTGTCAGGGCTCACAGAAAGTGCGTTGAAAACTAAGTTTTGTATGCTTTCCAGATAAGTCGACCAAAAATGAAGTGGGTAGTTGATTCTGACAATGGGCGAGAATAAGTAACTCGACAATCGCTCTGCAACATTTTGTTATGTGTGAATAATCGCTTTTCTGAAAATGAGTCGCGCTTTTCTGCCGCTTTTACAAAAATCATTCCTCTTTCACCGCTTTCGCTTATTTCAACTGGTTTACCGCTTTTTGCGGCCGCTTCCGCTCAAAGCGGTCAATTCACTACCCTAAAAACTATTATTTTGTTTAACTTTGCACAAAAACTGTGCACTGAACAGTACTTTGCTTGAAAAAAACTATGGATTGATCGTATAAAACAACCGCTAGGCAAAAACTAAAAGCATGTAAGTCACTGAAAGCAAGCTACAAAAGTTTTCTGTTTTGATATTTGAGGAATTTTCGCGTTCTTTATTTTTTGAAAAAATCTTAAGATTCGAATTTCAAAGAAAGAACATAGATGGTCTTAAGCTCTTTTGAATTTCTGGAACAATTTATGATTGACACTTTTTTGAACAAATTAAGCCAAGTTCGGAAAAATGGATCGAAAAGCTGCGAAACTCAATAATAAAACTCCACTTTCGAAACCAGACGTCGACCATGTTTTTTGTGGTCTTTACTTATTTGCTGTTCAAAGCGCGAAAAAATTAATTTGACTCTGAGCATGAATAGGAAACAGGGCCCCGTCTCTCCAACGAGAGCTACCTCCCTATACTAACACAAGACAGATGAAATCTAAAGACGCATGTTAGCTTACTAAATACAAGGCAATAATATATGAACACGAAATAAGCTGATATGTATCAGGCGCTTTAAAATTCCGCGGAAACATAGCAATGAAATAGGTAGTTTAATGAACTACAAAGCATGTTGGAAGAAAAATGTTTGCAGGTAGAAACTTTCTCAAAATTGAAGAAGGATAGCCGTTTACTGAGCAAGAAAACCGAATCTTGCGACCATAGTCTTTGGAAAACTACGGTTTAGAAAAAAAAAAATTTCCAAATGAATGTAGTTTTTTCTGCTTGGTGAGATAAAATGATCTGACGTTAAAAAAAAATTAAGACATATTAAACAGTAATAGTAATGTACGCAAATTGAACAAAAAATTTTGAAGGAAAATGACTGGAAAACTCAAAAAATTCAAAACTGTTGCAGAAAATTTTTAATGCAGCTAAAAACTCCAAAAACTAGTTTACTTGCTTAAAATTAAGTTTTTAGCTTTAAAATTAGGCGTAATTCAGCTGTTGTCAGCCAGCTCGCTTGCTCCATGCGCTCGAATTAAGACGAAAAAGCAAAATATTCAAACCGGTTTTTCTCAACCCTGGAAGTTTTTTGGAAATTCTTTATTATGGGTCGAATCACGACTAAAAGGGCTTTAATAAAATTTATCACATAACTCAGTCCGATCATTATTGGTGGTACCTGATTTTGCGTGGAAAACGAAAATAAAACAAACATACCCGAATAAAAAGTTCCTACTCATTTTCGATGCTCGAAAGAACAAACCTCGTTACGAGGTTTGTTGTTCCGGCTATTTGAAAAATGGGGAGGAACTTTGTATTCGGGTGTGTTTTTTAGTTAATTTTCTTTTTGCTTTCAACGCAAAATCAGGTACCACGAATAATTATTGGAACGGATTGAGTGATATATCATATTACAGTTCTTTCAGTCGTGATTCGAACGATATCGAAAAAATTTAAAAAATTTTTCTGTGTCAAAAACATTCTGCACTATTTGCACAGTTACCGGCTTTCCTTGTTTTGTTTTTTAAATGATTTTACAATCCAAATAAGAGATAAAACTGTTGTGTTCACATTTTTTGCCTAGGGGAGACATCCATCTACAGGTGGAAATGTTCTTTTTTGTTTATATTGTTCTGATTCAAAATGTGACGCCGCCGCCACCACCAAAGAAATATGTTTTTATTCCCTTGCAAAAGGAAGGGAAATGCTATTGGAATAATTCGTATAACGTTTTAAGCATTGAGAATTGAAACGACTATTCTCATTCAATACGAATAATAACGATTCCTCTCGTAAAGTACGAGCATACGAAACCTTCTTCTCGTAAAATACGATGGTACGAATAAAGAATACTAAGTTAAAAGAAACTTCTCATTTGATACGAAAAGTGGCGTGATTTCCCCATCTGAGTATAAATAGAAGCTCAAAACTACGGGAATTCATTCCAACAACTTCTCTTCTACCACCACCACCACTCTCCTCAACCACCCCAACCCTTCTCTAAAATAATATTCAATCTCAGAGAAAAATATCTCCAATCTCACCGTAAAAAATAAATATTGAGTCAAAAGGCAACTTGCTGTAAATTCATACTAACCTTTTTTTAATAAAATATTTCTCAGCGAATTTTAGATTTACTTTCTAAGATAGAAAGTAGAAAGGACCCTTTATTCCTAGCAAGCGTTTTGTCCGACGTAAATAGTATTGCTAGCGTAATAATATTAATTTTAGTTAGTACAGGGAAGCTGAAGTGTTTAATGAGCCAAAAACTAGTGAACAAAAAACCAAATTTTCTCGACACCAAGACAAGTTTTTCTGAGACTGAATTATGCCTGAATGGCTTTTAGTAATAGTAACACATTTTACCCCCCTAAGATTTCTTTTCAGGCGCCTATAATTGCACAAAAAAAAACAATTTTTGTCATATTTCCTCTGCTTCACTTCGTGAATGGTCGGGAAAATAAAATTTCAAGAAAAATGTTTCAAGAAAAATGGTCATTTTGTTCTTTTGTGGAAATCCATCGAATATCCATTTGATAAGGCTACTAAGTATTAGCAGTTTGGCTTGTTGCTTTTCAAATAAAAAATTGATGTAAAAATAAATTCTGACGATAATTTGTAAAAATGATTGGAATTAAGCTAATGCAAAATTACAAGAGTAATGACCTGTTTTTAAAAAATTTGAGTAAGAAAGCTAGAGAATTTAATGGATTATAATTTTTTTACTCGGATAACGATGATTGCTTTTAACCACATGAAAACTATTCAATTTGTAACTTCTATCTGTTTGCTTCTACAGGTCTTCACTTTATTAAAAGAAATCAATATGGATAAACTAATCACTAAGAAGAAGATTAGCAACAATACACATTTAAGTAAGGCGGACAATCATTAAATTTTGATTTGATTGGAATGAAAAACGAATACAGCAACAAAATCGATTAAATAACTATTATTTTTCCATGTTTCAACTTAGCAAAACAGCATCTGAGTGTGTTATGATGGAAATTCAACGTGGTGTCCTGTGGTTGTAACATCAGTAACGGAGGAGGGGGAGGACAGTCCATTTTGAGTGGCTGCACTGGAAGACACCAAATCGGATTGCGATGCGACTGATGGTAATGAAACTGGACTCCTGGATCTGGAGGTTCTTAGAGCTGCACTCCTAGCCTGTTGCTGCTGCTGCAGTATCTGCTGTCTGTTCTGATAACTGGCAATGGCAGCAGCACTCGAAATCATCTCGTCTTCTTCTTCCTCTTCTGAGCTGTCTTCATCTTCGTCCCCTTCTTGCTCCTAAAACAATATCTACATGAGTTAAAGCTAATCTGATTTTTGACATTTCGTCCATTTCGGTCAACGAATAAATCTCAACAGAGTAGTTCGATCACCCAAAATTGCTCACTTAACGTCAAGAATCATCTTCAACAAGTAAACCGAGCATCAGCTTAATAAAAAAACCGTAAAAATTGTTTCTAAGGCGTCCTTTGGCTGTTTAGTCAGAGGGCGTCAGAGAGGTGTTTTCAGTTCCAAAAAGTCCCGTAAACGTCAGAAGCAACTGAAACTTTGGACTCAAAAGTGTCTGTTGGAAAACTAAGAATCTCACCTAGGCCCTCAAACAAAATTTTTCCAGCTTGAAAAAGGGTACAAAAAACTACTCAACTAAGAAAAAAAACATGACTCATAATTTAGCATTTAGCGACACAAATTTTGCTGAATTTCCAGCCAACATCTTTCCACGAGCTTAACAAAGTTTCAAGTTACTTTTATGTGAAAAGAAATTTGCATGCGCGCCTAGCCTATATCCTTAGCTTTCCAACGAACACTTTTAAACCCAAATCGATAAAAAATAGATGGCCTTAAAGCTCTTCAAATTTGTAGAACACTTTATGATCGACAATTTTTTGCTACAGTTAACCCATTTTGGGAAATCTGATACTTAATTACCGTTTTCAAAATTAGAAGTCGATCACGTTTTTCGTGGCTTTTACATTTTTTGCTTCTCGATAGTGAATTTTGCCTTCATTTTAACAAAGGAAACGCACTGAACTTAAAAAGAAATCACAAGTCAAACCGCCCAAAATCAAAACTGAGCCTGAACAAATTTTAAGAAGTTTTCCTGAAAAAAGAAAAAAAAAATCAGCAAGACCTATATAAAAGTATTCACAACGTTCATTACTCTTAAACACCTCTCTTACGCCCTCTGATCAAATAGCCAAAGGACGCTTCGAAACAATTTTTGATCCGGCTAAATTGTAGAAAAATAATAATTTCTGTCATCATAAGTCCAATTTTTAACTCTGGTAAATGAAAAAAAAAAACGGTACAACCATGACAAAAAATTGTTCATTTCAGCGCTTGAAAACTAAGGTGCAACTTCTATGTCCCGTTTTTCACGAATTTTTTATTTTCTCTGTTCGATCGTCGAGTTTGCCCTCCTTTTAGCAAAGGAATTGAAGTGAACTTAAAAAGAAATCAAACGTCAAGCCGCGAATATAAATATTAAGCGAGTACAAAATTAGGACTTCCTGAAAAAAAAATCGCCAAAACCAATATAAGAGAATTCGCTTCGTTCATTACTCCTAAAAGGCATCCACACTATTTAGCATATTATAAATTACAATATATTAAATCAATATGCGTGTAAATTATGCATTTCAAAAATCTCGCGAAGTAATTCTTTAGAGGATTTTATTATTAGGGTTCTTTTGTTTCATTTGTTATAGCGTAGTTCTCAAAGACAAATAGCTTTTTTCGGCTTTCATGATGAATTAAAAGTGCATCAACTGTATAAGCTTATTACTAATCAAATGCCAAAGCACGTGGGACTAGACTTCTTTTAGCTCTTTTATTTGCGACTTAGGTTGGAAAACCAGTTGCAACGTACTATCACACTACGCTACGTTGGAGTAAAAATTCTAATGAACATGAACAAAAAACATTGTTTGCTGACAATTGGACATTAAAAAAAATTGCCTCAAGTTCAAGTGGTCCAAAATTAAGTTAAAAAAATTTTGATCAAAATCAATTGAACGAAAAACTTCGTTTTCAGATTTTTTAGACAATTTTTCGAAGTCATTTAATTTGATTCCATTTCAAAAAGCCCCTTCTTGAAGGGAATTAAAAATTACTTTGTGATGATCACATAGAATAAGATGAAATTACACAGATAAGATAGTTACTTTGCATTAAATTGTATATAAAAAAAACTATTTGCTCCACACGCGCTTGCCTGAAAGAATGCAGAAGCTCCATTGGCTACTCCTGGGAGTCGAAACTTGACCTCTGCTATGCTATCATTCAAATTATACATCATTGAACTATTCTGGTTAGGCTGCTGCTGCGTGGAAAAGTTAGATATGAAAATGTTGGGGTAGGACTTGGTTGCTCCGTTAGGCATGTGTAAGACGTCTCCATTTGCACTTTGATCACCATTACTGTCGCCCCCCGAGTAAGCATGATTGCCCTGTTGAGGCTGGGACAACATGGCTTCTAGGTCTGCGTCTAGATTACTCTCACTTCCATTGTTCGGTCGAACACAGCTGGAGGCTTTGGATGATATTTCTACTGCCGAGAACTTCCTGGCAGCTTCTCTCGTGCTGGGAGATATGCAGAGTTTGGACGAGGAGTGGTGCTGTTGTTGACTGTGGTGGTGGCTGGGTGCTGAGGTGGAGTCACAGTAGGCCACACTGAGGGAGTCTATGGAGGGGGTGGATGGAAGAAGACTTCTTCCCATCGGAACGGAGGAGGAGGCAGTTCGCACCTCAAACACAACTTATCTAATTACTTTACACGACTAGAAAACCATTCAAATTACTATAAAAACCAAACATAACTCTTTTATTAGCCATATTTCAGCAAAATCTAAAATTGAATTTTGGCTACATAACACAAGCAAACACGATTAGGCAAAGCCCTTCATTAACATAGTTGACATGAGCTGTTCGGCTCCTGTAGGCAAACGGTTGTTGATTACTTGGATTCAGAGCTAAATGAATTTGTATGGTTCTGTTTGCGAACTGTGATTAGGTGAAATTTAGCAGGTAAAAAGCATTCGGCAACAAAAACTCAACTGTTTTGCCACATCGTGTGCTTTCTACCGTACCCTGCGCTAACTAGTAGATTATAGACGGGCACTGACTGGGTCCGAGGTGAACATTTATTTGTTGTTGCTGTTGTTTATTACCTTTTCGTATGCAGCCTGCAGTCTTCCCCTGTTGGAGAGGAACTTGAGGACGGAGCTGAGGTCTCTGAGTGTCTTGTGTATGGTGAAGCAGCCGGAGGTCAGGTTCAACTTGTACCTCAACTGCCCAATGTTCTTGTTGAGGCAAAAGAGCGCGTGCAGAAACCTTAAAGATATTTACTCTCTAATTATGATTATTACTTTAATTACTACTGCGGCCACAAATGATCATGACAGCCTCCTCATTGCAAGTGGGTGGCTGGAGAATTTTACAGCTTATAATGAAATGAGGACTAAACATGGCTAAAATTCACTTAATGCTATTCTACCACACTCAGTATAACATGAATTCTATCAGGAACAAAAGTGGAAAGAGAGAGAGAGAGAGAGAGAGAGAGAGAGAGAGAGATTAAGTGTGTGGTAGTGGTGTACTTGCCTGAAGTCGTCCTTGACCCTGAGCTTCCTGTCTAGCACCAGGTCATACTGTCTGTTCTCTCTGTAGTCCTTCAGGTCTATCTGGTTGTCCACTATGTACCACCTGGAGGGAAATGAGCACATGTCTATCTGGTACCTCAGCACTGTCGCCGACACCTGCAAAACACACACACGTTATAATCATAACAAGGATAGCCGGTGTGGCTCTGCAAGTAGCACAGCATCTTACCACGATACTCTCAAAAAAAGCATAGAACCCTTTTTCATGTTTTTTTTACTCAAACTTGTGTTGAGGAAGGATTTGAAGAAAACCTAGAATTTAGGCATAATCGACAGCCATAGTAAAAAAAGACACAATCGGACAAGCCTTTCAGTAAAAAAAAAAAACAAAAAAAAAATTTTATGTTTTTTTTTTGCAGAAATTGTTTTGAAATTTTGAAGTTTTCTTTCCCAATGATGGGGCTAAAAAACATCCTTAATTTTTTTAAAGGAGTTTAACTCAAGTTTCAGGAATTATTCTTCGATAAAACGCCTGCTCGCTTGCTTTACTCGCTCGAAAATTGACTGAAACTTGAAAATTTCAAATCGGTTTTTCTCGTCAGTGGAACAATTTTTTAAAATTTTTATAGTATCCTTCAAATCACGGCCTCAAGGGCTTTACTATGATATATCACTCCAACCGTTACGATGATTATTTGCTGTAAATATTTATGGTTCAAAAAGATTGAAAGTAAAAAAAGGCCCGTTGTCAGGAAACTTAGAAGTCTGACAATTGACGAAGTACGACTCTAATGAAGAAAAGCCAATTGGAGGAATGGCAAAAGAAAAGGACACACCTGCAAAATACAAAAGTTATAATAACCATAAACTAAAAAATATTTGGAAAATTGTGAAAGAGCAAGGTAACAAAATAATTGAAAATGTATGAACCTCTTGGACTCTTTTTTGAGCTTCAAAAACTCTTTATGATAGGCACTTATTTCGTAAAATCCTTTTTTATAATCAAAATATTTATATCATGCAGAGAAAACTTGATCAAGGGCTAATTTTCGAAATCCACTGCACGTTCAGTAAATTAAAGCCCACTTTGGAACTAGTCATTCACAATTTTGTGACCTTTTCACTTTTGCTGTTCGATAGTGCAAGTAATCGAAATCCACTGCACGTTCAGTAAATTAAAGCCCACTTTGGAACTAGTCATTCACAATTTTGTGACCTTTTCACTTTTGCTGTTCGATAGTGCAAGTAATCGAAATCCACTGCACGTTCAGTAAATTAAAGCCCACTTTGGAACTAGTCATTCACAATTTTGTGACCTTTTCACTTTTGCTGTTCGATAGTGCAAGTAATCGAAATCCACTGCACGTTCAGTAAATTAAAGCCCACTTTGGAACTAGTCATTCACAATTTTGTGACCTTTTCACTTTTGCTGTTCGATAGTGCAAGTAATCGAAATCCACTGCACGTTCAGTAAATTAAAGCCCACTTTGGAACTAGTCATTCACAATTTTGTGACCTTTTCACTTTTGCTGTTCGATAGTGCAAGTAATCGAAATCCACTGCACGTTCAGTAAATTAAAGCCCACTTTGGAACTAGTCATTCACAATTTTGTGACCTTTTCACTTTTGCTGTTCGATAGTGCAAGTAATCGAAATCCACTGCACGTTCAGTAAATTAAAGCCCACTTTGGAACTAGTCATTCACAATTTTGTGACCTTTTCACTTTTGCTGTTCGATAGTGCAAGTAATCGAAATCCACTGCACGTTCAGTAAATTAAAGCCCACTTTGGAACTAGTCATTCACAATTTTGTGACCTTTTCACTTTTGCTGTTCGATAGTGCAAGTAATCGAAATCCACTGCACGTTCAGTAAATTAAAGCCCACTTTGGAACTAGTCATTCACAATTTTGTGACCTTTTCACTTTTGCTGTTCGATAGTGCAAGTAATCGAAATCCACTGCACGTTCAGTAAATTAAAGCCCACTTTGGAACTAGTCATTCACAATTTTGTGACCTTTTCACTTTTGCTGTTCGATAGTGCAAGTAATCGAAATCCACTGCACGTTCAGTAAATTAAAGCCCACTTTGGAACTAGTCATTCACAATTTTGTGACCTTTTCACTTTTGCTGTTCGATAGTGCAAGTAATCGAAATCCACTGCACGTTCAGTAAATTAAAGCCCACTTTGGAACTAGTCATTCACAATTTTGTGACCTTTTCACTTTTGCTGTTCGATAGTGCAAGTAATCGAAATCCACTGCACGTTCAGTAAATTAAAGCCCACTTTGGAACTAGTCATTCACAATTTTGTGACCTTTTCACTTTTGCTGTTCGATAGTGCAAGTAATCGAAATCCACTGCACGTTCAGTAAATTAAAGCCCACTTTGGAACTAGTCATTCACAATTTTGTGACCTTTTCACTTTTGCTGTTCGATAGTGCAAGTAATCGAAATCCACTGCACGTTCAGTAAATTAAAGCCCACTTTGGAACTAGTCATTCACAATTTTGTGACCTTTTCACTTTTGCTGTTCGATAGTGCAAGTAATCGAAATCCACTGCACGTTCAGTAAATTAAAGCCCACTTTGGAACTATTCATTCACAATTTTGTGACCTTTTCACTTTTGCTGTTCGATAGTGCAAGTAATCGAAATCCACTGCACGTTCAGTAAATTAAAGCCCACTTTGGAACTAGTCATTCACAATTTTGTGACCTTTTCACTTTTGCTGTTCGATAGTGCAAGTAATCGAAATCCACTGCACGTTCAGTAAATTAAAGCCCACTTTGGAACTAGTCATTCACAATTTTGTGACCTTTTCACTTTTGCTGTTCGATAGTGCAAGTAATCGAAATCCACTGCACGTTCAGTAAATTAAAGCCCACTTTGGAACTAGTCATTCACAATTTTGTGACCTTTTCACTTTTGCTGTTCGATAGTGCAAGTAATCGAAATCCACTGCACGTTCAGTAAATTAAAGCCCACTTTGGAACTAGTCATTCACAATTTTGTGACCTTTTCACTTTTGCTGTTCGATAGTGCAAGTAATCGAAATCCACTGCACGTTCAGTAAATTAAAGCCCACTTTGGAACTAGTCATTCACAATTTTGTGACCTTTTCACTTTTGCTGTTCGATAGTGCAAGTAATCGAAATCCACTGCACGTTCAGTAAATTAAAGCCCACTTTGGAACTAGTCATTCACAATTTTGTGACCTTTTCACTTTTGCTGTTCGATAGTGCAAGTAATCGAAATCCACTGCACGTTCAGTAAATTAAAGCCCACTTTGGAACTAGTCATTCACAATTTTGTGACCTTTTCACTTTTGCTGTTCGATAGTGCAAGTAATCGAAATCCACTGCACGTTCAGTAAATTAAAGCCCACTTTGGAACTAGTCATTCACAATTTTGTGACCTTTTCACTTTTGCTGTTCGATAGTGCAAGTAATCGAAATCCACTGCACGTTCAGTAAATTAAAGCCCACTTTGGAACTAGTCATTCACAATTTTGTGACCTTTTCACTTTTGCTGTTCGATAGTGCAAGTAATCGAAATCCACTGCACGTTCAGTAAATTAAAGCCCACTTTGGAACTAGTCATTCACAATTTTGTGACCTTTTCACTTTTGCTGTTCGATAGTGCAAGTAATCGAAATCCACTGCACGTTCAGTAAATTAAAGCCCACTTTGGAACTAGTCATTCACAATTTTGTGACCTTTTCACTTTTGCTGTTCGATAGTGCAAGTAATCGAAATCCACTGCACGTTCAGTAAATTAAAGCCCACTTTGGAACTAGTCATTCACAATTTTGTGACCTTTTCACTTTTGCTGTTCGATAGTGCAAGTAATCGAAATCCACTGCACGTTCAGTAAATTAAAGCCCACTTTGGAACTAGTCATTCACAATTTTGTGACCTTTTCACTTTTGCTGTTCGATAGTGCAAGTAATCGAAATCCACTGCACGTTCAGTAAATTAAAGCCCACTTTGGAACTAGTCATTCACAATTTTGTGACCTTTTCACTTTTGCTGTTCGATAGTGCAAGTAATCGAAATCCACTGCACGTTCAGTAAATTAAAGCCCACTTTGGAACTAGTCATTCACAATTTTGTGACCTTTTCACTTTTGCTGTTCGATAGTGCAAGTAATCGAAATCCACTGCACGTTCAGTAAATTAAAGCCCACTTTGGAACTAGTCATTCACAATTTTGTGACCTTTTCACTTTTGCTGTTCGATAGTGCAAGTAATCGAAATCCACTGCACGTTCAGTAAATTAAAGCCCACTTTGGAACTAGTCATTCACAATTTTGTGACCTTTTCACTTTTGCTGTTCGATAGTGCAAGTAATCGAAATCCACTGCACGTTCAGTAAATTAAAGCCCACTTTGGAACTAGTCATTCACAATTTTGTGACCTTTTCACTTTTGCTGTTCGATAGTGCAAGTAATCGAAATCCACTGCACGTTCAGTAAATTAAAGCCCACTTTGGAACTAGTCATTCACAATTTTGTGACCTTTTCACTTTTGCTGTTCGATAGTGCAAGTAATCGAAATCCACTGCACGTTCAGTAAATTAAAGCCCACTTTGGAACTAGTCATTCACAATTTTGTGACCTTTTCACTTTTGCTGTTCGATAGTGCAAGTAATCGAAATCCACTGCACGTTCAGTAAATTAAAGCCCACTTTGGAACTAGTCATTCACAATTTTGTGACCTTTTCACTTTTGCTGTTCGATAGTGCAAGTAATCGAAATCCACTGCACGTTCAGTAAATTAAAGCCCACTTTGGAACTAGTCATTCACAATTTTGTGACCTTTTCACTTTTGCTGTTCGATAGTGCAAGTAATCGAAATCCACTGCACGTTCAGTAAATTAAAGCCCACTTTGGAACTAGTCATTCACAATTTTGTGACCTTTTCACTTTTGCTGTTCGATAGTGCAAGTAATCGAAATCCACTGCACGTTCAGTAAATTAAAGCCCACTTTGGAACTAGTCATTCACAATTTTGTGACCTTTTCACTTTTGCTGTTCGATAGTGCAAGTAATCGAAATCCACTGCACGTTCAGTAAATTAAAGCCCACTTTGGAACTAGTCATTCACAATTTTGTGACCTTTTCACTTTTGCTGTTCGATAGTGCAAGTAATCGAAATCCACTGCACGTTCAGTAAATTAAAGCCCACTTTGGAACTAGTCATTCACAATTTTGTGACCTTTTCACTTTTGCTGTTCGATAGTGCAAGTAATCGAAATCCACTGCACGTTCAGTAAATTAAAGCCCACTTTGGAACTAGTCATTCACAATTTTGTGACCTTTTCACTTTTGCTGTTCGATAGTGCAAGTAATCGAAATCCACTGCACGTTCAGTAAATTAAAGCCCACTTTGGAACTAGTCATTCACAATTTTGTGACCTTTTCACTTTTGCTGTTCGATAGTGCAAGTAATCGAAATCCACTGCACGTTCAGTAAATTAAAGCCCACTTTGGAACTAGTCATTCACAATTTTGTGACCTTTTCACTTTTGCTGTTCGATAGTGCAAGTAATCGAAATCCACTGCACGTTCAGTAAATTAAAGCCCACTTTGGAACTAGTCATTCACAATTTTGTGACCTTTTCACTTTTGCTGTTCGATAGTGCAAGTAATCGAAATCCACTGCACGTTCAGTAAATTAAAGCCCACTTTGGAACTAGTCATTCACAATTTTGTGACCTTTTCACTTTTGCTGTTCGATAGTGCAAGTAATCGAAATCCACTGCACGTTCAGTAAATTAAAGCCCACTTTGGAACTAGTCATTCACAATTTTGTGACCTTTTCACTTTTGCTGTTCGATAGTGCAAGTAATCGAAATCCACTGCACGTTCAGTAAATTAAAGCCCACTTTGGAACTAGTCATTCACAATTTTGTGACCTTTTCACTTTTGCTGTTCGATAGTGCAAGTAATCGAAATCCACTGCACGTTCAGTAAATTAAAGCCCACTTTGGAACTAGTCATTCACAATTTTGTGACCTTTTCACTTTTGCTGTTCGATAGTGCAAGTAATCGAAATCCACTGCACGTTCAGTAAATTAAAGCCCACTTTGGAACTAGTCATTCACAATTTTGTGACCTTTTCACTTTTGCTGTTCGATAGTGCAAGTAATCGAAATCCACTGCACGTTCAGTAAATTAAAGCCCACTTTGGAACTAGTCATTCACAATTTTGTGACCTTTTCACTTTTGCTGTTCGATAGTGCAAGTAATCGAAATCCACTGCACGTTCAGTAAATTAAAGCCCACTTTGGAACTAGTCATTCACAATTTTGTGACCTTTTCACTTTTGCTGTTCGATAGTGCAAGTAATCGAAATCCACTGCACGTTCAGTAAATTAAAGCCCACTTTGGAACTAGTCATTCACAATTTTGTGACCTTTTCACTTTTGCTGTTCGATAGTGCAAGTAATCGAAATCCACTGCACGTTCAGTAAATTAAAGCCCACTTTGGAACTAGTCATTCACAATTTTGTGACCTTTTCACTTTTGCTGTTCGATAGTGCAAGTAATCGAAATCCACTGCACGTTCAGTAAATTAAAGCCCACTTTGGAACTAGTCATTCACAATTTTGTGACCTTTTCACTTTTGCTGTTCGATAGTGCAAGTAATCGAAATCCACTGCACGTTCAGTAAATTAAAGCCCACTTTGGAACTAGTCATTCACAATTTTGTGACCTTTTCACTTTTGCTGTTCGATAGTGCAAGTAATCGAAATCCACTGCACGTTCAGTAAATTAAAGCCCACTTTGGAACTAGTCATTCACAATTTTGTGACCTTTTCACTTTTGCTGTTCGATAGTGCAAGTAATCGAAATCCACTGCACGTTCAGTAAATTAAAGCCCACTTTGGAACTAGTCATTCACAATTTTGTGACCTTTTCACTTTTGCTGTTCGATAGTGCAAGTAATCGAAATCCACTGCACGTTCAGTAAATTAAAGCCCACTTTGGAACTAGTCATTCACAATTTTGTGACCTTTTCACTTTTGCTGTTCGATAGTGCAAGTAATCGAAATCCACTGCACGTTCAGTAAATTAAAGCCCACTTTGGAACTAGTCATTCACAATTTTGTGACCTTTTCACTTTTGCTGTTCGATAGTGCAAGTAATCGAAATCCACTGCACGTTCAGTAAATTAAAGCCCACTTTGGAACTAGTCATTCACAATTTTGTGACCTTTTCACTTTTGCTGTTCGATAGTGCAAGTAATCGAAATCCACTGCACGTTCAGTAAATTAAAGCCCACTTTGGAACTAGTCATTCACAATTTTGTGACCTTTTCACTTTTGCTGTTCGATAGTGCAAGTAATCGAAATCCACTGCACGTTCAGTAAATTAAAGCCCACTTTGGAACTAGTCATTCACAATTTTGTGACCTTTTCACTTTTGCTGTTCGATAGTGCAAGTAATCGAAATCCACTGCACGTTCAGTAAATTAAAGCCCACTTTGGAACTAGTCATTCACAATTTTGTGACCTTTTCACTTTTGCTGTTCGATAGTGCAAGTAATCGAAATCCACTGCACGTTCAGTAAATTAAAGCCCACTTTGGAACTAGTCATTCACAATTTTGTGACCTTTTCACTTTTGCTGTTCGATAGTGCAAGTAAGCTTGAAAAGAAATCAAAGTACAAACCGCAAAAAGTCAAATTTGAGCGAGAACTATTTTTAAACATTTATATTATAAAAATAAGACCTTTATAAAAGTCTTTACCACGTTCAATGGCTCTTAAATAGGTTCTGGCAAGATCCAAACCAAGGACCATTGCCTTTAACTCCAGACCAAGTGTCGAAAAAGCTATAAGACTTGGCTTTAATATCATAGCCAACAGACAGATGAAAAATAGTTGGTGGAAAAAACACATTACGTCGAAGCTCTTTCCATTTTAATAATATTTTATAATTGACTCTTTTTCGCTTCAGTTGAGCCAATTTTAAAAAATTACATGAAACGAAATTTAATTCGCTGAGAAAAAAAAATCAAATTCCACTTTAAAAAAATGAATTTGAACTGAGCTCAAAAATAAAAAATCAAGCTCAACCTATTGCATGATAGATAATAAACTAACCCGAAATATTTTAAAGCTAATTTTAAGACTTTTTCTTGAGAAAACAAACATAGCTAACAGACAGTTGGAAAAAACTCAAAAGACGCAATTACAGTTTTTTTGAAAAAGTATCGAATTTAAAAAATAGATGCCCTAAAACCTCTTTGAATTTCTAAAATCAATTTATGACAGGCACTTTTTCACTAAAATAGACACAATTCGAGAAAACTGGATCAATAGTAAACTTTCTATTTCGCTGGAAAATCTGAAAATTAAATTCCACTTTCAAAACTAGAAGTCGATCGCGTTTTCCGTCACCTTTACATTTTTGTTGTTTGATCGTGGAGTTTGCTTTCCTTTAAACAAGGGAAATGAACTGAACTTGAAAAGAAATCAAAAGTCAAACCGCGAAAAAATGAATTTCAGCCTGAATAAATTTAAGGACTTTTCCTGAAAAAAAAAACAAAAAATCATCGCGACCTATATAAGAAAAAGAACTACGTTCATCGACTCTTAGAAAAACTCCAATACATCAGGTTGTTCTGTACAACTAATAATAATAGTAAAATTTTGTTACTAAGCATTGCAGATGATCTATCAAAAGCTGCAAATCCAGTCGAAGGATTGTCAGTTTCTTTTGTTTCTCCATATCATTCGAGGCTGAGATAAATGCAGTAGCGTGGCGAAACGAAATGGGGCAATTGCCCCTTCCCCTCAATTCTGGGTGCTAAATTTTTCCCAAAGGGCTTCTCCTTTCGTATAATTTTACGAGATCCATTTTTGACTGGCATACATCAAACATTTTCTCCAAAGACGCCAATATAACGAAATGTCGCGGGAGCGCACACCAGGAACGCAATTTTTTGGTCAAATATTTTTTAAAACGGCTAATAACGTCATTTTTAGCGGTTTTTTTTCAAAAAAAAGTGCAAAAATTCGGAGAGCTTGAAAATCAAATTGGCTGACATAAAAAAATTATCGACAAAATTTTCAATTTTTTTTAGAAAGACTGCCCCCCCAAAAAAAATTTCTGCGCACGCCACTGGATAAATGTCTTATTAAATTTACATGTCACCATTCTAGGCTGAGATAATTGTATTGTTAAACATGTATTGTTTTCCCCGCATTTGAAAACACAATTGGAAACGGCAAAAATTTCGGTGAAATATCTTTTGAACTCAGGCCGTTTTTCGCAACTTTCACCTCTGGTACCACTATTGAAGCCGAGCTTTGTGAGAGGACGTCCGTACACGCTATCAATGTCATGGCAGGGGATCCAATACACGATTTCGATGTCTAAGCCTTACCGCCGTGCTTACCTCGTACAATTAAAATAGCCGAGCAAGTTGGACACCTTTCAATGAACTCCTATACCGGTATGAAGGAAACATAAACTTCCAAATTTAAAAGCATGCTGAAGTTATGGCTGTCACTTTGACATTTCAAAAATGGCCGATTGAAGTTCGCTTTAGGGATCTTAAGCTCTCTCTAGTGGCTTCTCAGAATAGGCCTGACCTGAGAAATGATAACTAGCACCCACGCAACATAGCACACAGCAGTCACAATTTCGAAATCGTCCACCTTCGAGGCATCTATGGGCTTCAGTTTCCTCGCAGTGGCCTGCTGCCTGTAGCAGGGGTCAAACACCTCCGACTTGGGCAGCCACAGTCCGCATATGTACCAGTGTGTGTCGTCAGATGATGCATGACCGTCTCTGGGCAAACTGGAACTCGATCTTAACATTAAAAATCACAACTAAGTAACATTATTAAAAGCAAAAATAAGCCTGGAAAACTAATATTATCGTATGAGCGGGAATCGAACCATCGACCTAGAGATTAAGAATATGTCCTCTCACCTGCCTCATGCGCTCTTGTAGATAAACTAACACTAACAAAGCGGATATCGAGCACATGCTTAAATCACATACAGCAAAAGCAAGCATTTCTATTTAAAACTTGGGATGCAAAAAATTGGATTCATAGTAAGACACTACGCCTGCGAGCTCGAAACTCGCAAGTGAAACGCTTGGACATTTCTTCGACAAAACTTACTTATTTCGAGAAAACAAAATGAACAGAGACGCCAAGCAGAGCTTCGTTTTGCTTGCGATGCAACGCAAGCATAGCATTGCAAGCTAGCGAACAGAGACGGAAAAAACTAAGCCGAAAAAATGTTTCAGAAAAAAATATATATTTTTGGAATTAATGCAAAATTCAATTTCAGCAAAACAGTCGAGAATCACAATACCAGAAATTAATAAGCTTGTACTATTTATAGCGGCTAATTAGCCGCCAATTACTGGGTAGAGGACCGTTGATTCAAAAAAAACTTCAGATATTGTCGTCTGAGTTCTTAACTTCTGCACAGACCTGAATTAAATAACCTTAATTCAGCCGACATGAATTAAAAGTAATCAATTTTTTCCTTTCAAACGATTCAAAATAAGCTGGCTTAGCCAAAACAACATTAGCTGAAACCATGTAGGCCGAATGAAACTTTCAAGTTGAACAAAAGAACAGTAAATTATAAATTACAAGCGAGAATTAACAAAATTTGCTCTTACGGGGAAAAGTGCGACAGCACAAGAAACATCCGTGATTTGGCAACTAAGCAGACAATATATAAGCAGACAAGCGATAGGGCGACAATGAGCTGAGGGTTTTATGCTGTTTTACTAGCAGACATTGCTGTTGCATTTGTTTGCTAATAATGATATTGGTATTCTACCGAGCAGCTTGCACTTTCCACGCAGAAAATCGTAACTTCGTGGTACGAAAATTTTTGATCATTGCTTACATATTCATGCTCGGAGAAACTCTTTTTTTATCGTTTAGCATGAGCTCAAGGTGAGTTTGGGATTTAAAATGTTCTGATTAAAACATTTGAAATTAAATTTTTAGCAGCAGCTTAGAAAAAAAGCTGGGGAGCATTTCATAATGCTTTCGGACAGGAAACATGTAATATTCTTCATGTAAATTACATTTGATGTCAATGCTTTTTAAGCACCCCTTTGTGGTTCTTAGTGTTTTATGCTGTTTTACTAGCAGACATTGCTGTTAATATTGCTCAGAAGGTTGTCCAAATGGAAGCTGTATAGTTTAAGACACTCCTCTCAATTTCATTGTAATTTACACTGAGCGTATCTAAGGAGACAACCGAAAAGATACCGGCAAGTTTCTTGAAACCATTGACTTATATTGGAGATTTTCACAAGTCTTATTACAACGGTCATGAAAAATGAGTTGGTTTTCAAAAGTAACCCCGAGAATTTTAGGGTTTTCAAATACAGGTAGGTTGGTGCCGTACAACATAACATTAACATAAAAATTAAACTCATTGTTCCATTGAAAAGATAGATGTCGTTAAATTGACTTCAGGCAAGGACAGATTTCTGTTTGTATCTAAGATATAGATAGAAAAGATAGATGTCGTTAATAACTTTCGAATTTCAAAGAAAAAATAGATGCCCTTAAGGCTCTTTGAATTTCTACAACAAATAATGATTGGCACTTTTTCGATAAAATTGGCCCAATTTGAGAAACCTGGATCATTAGGAAAACCCTTCATTTCGCTAAGAAATCTGAAAATTAAATTCCACTTTTGAAACTAGAAGTCGATCACGTTCTTCGTGACCTTTACATTTTGCTGTTCGATAGTGGGTTTGCCTTCCCTTTAATAAAGGAAAGGATCTGAACTTATTCGTACAAAGGTAAAAGCGCAAAAATTGAATTTGAGCCTGAACAAATTTTAAGATTTTTCCTGGAAAAAAATAAGGAAAAAAAAACAATCATCGCGACCTATTTAAGAGTTTGAACTACGTTCGAAGTTGTTTACCGGAAAAAAGTCTAGTACCCGATGGCAAAACCCTTGCTTATCGCAAGGGTAAAAAGTACTTTAATCGTCCTTTTTAGCCGGTTTTTTTTTCTTGCGGCTCAGGAAGTTTTTCATAAAATAAGGTTCTTCCAGTAATTTCGTAGAGCCGGGAAAATCAAAATGGTCGACCTAAAAAGTCAACAAAATTTTCAAATTTTCATTCGAAAAACCGCCCCCTAAAAAATTTTTACGCACGCCACTGGTTAAATGCCTTGTTAAATTTAAATGTCATTAGAAACGGCAAAAAATTCGTTGGTATATCTTTTAAATTCAAGGCCGTTTTTCGCAATTTTCACATCTGGTACCACTATTGTTAGCCGAACTTTGGAAGAGGTGGTCCACACACGCTATCAATGTCATAGCACGGAATCCAATAAAAGATTTCAATGTCTACGCCTTACCACCGTGCTAAATTGGCACAATTAAAACATAGCCAACAGAAAGTTGGAAAAGAGTCAATAAACTCAAGCAAACAAAAAAAACTGAATTCTTTATTTAAAAAATCTCGAATTTCACAGACAAAATAGATGCCTTCAAAGCCCTGTGGATTTCTAGAACAATTTATTTTTGGCACTTTTTCGATTACATTGCACCAATTTGAGAAAAAAGCATCAAGATAATTTTTTTTCGCTGTTAAATCTGAAAATTAAATTCTTTTTTCGAAATTAGAAGTCGATCACGTTTTAACAAAGGAAAAGAAGTGAACTTGAAAAAAGTCAAACCGCGAAAAAATGAATTTGAGCGTGAACAAATGCTAAGACTTTTTTCTAAAAAAAATCGCCAAGACATTCCAAGAGTAATCCTACGTTCATTGACTCCAAAAAAAATCCAACTTTCAAACTCAAAGTCAACTGTATTTTAAAAACTTGCCTGAAATTGAAGGAGTCTATCTAATTACAAGAAACTGCTGACCTTTGACTGGATGAGGCAGTTAGTTTGTTGAGGATGGTTCCGAATCTGCCAATTTTTGAATCGAGGGGCGAGTGCAACTTCTCTGAGATGCTAAAAATGGATTGCAGTTCGTTGAGGATGTAGCCTCGTACCAGCTGTTTCTTTTTCCTCACTAAGTTGAACTTGTGCTGCACTCTGCTGAGCTTGCTCTTCACTTCCGACACTGTTTGTGAACAGATCTTGTTTTCCACACGCATACTCTCTCTGTTGAGCTCTAAAACAAACTAGCAATTAAATCATTCTTACTTCTAAATTAGCAGCCCAATAACACCTTAAAAGGTCAGATGTTTTTCATGAGTTCTTACAAACTGCCTGCAAGTTCATAAGTCAATAACTGGCGAACTCTTACTGCCTCACACTCGTGACTTGCGGCACACTTGTCACTAGGCTGTCTAAATTATCTCATTTCTTAATTCCATCTCAAATAACCACTTCAAATCTCCATGCTGCATTGCATCAACACACTCAACACAAGAATGCTGAAACTCAAAGCTATGTTAGCTATTCTTCTTCTTCTTCTTCTTTCTACTGAATATATCTCTGCAGTGTCGTCTTCTAAGGTCCTATCCGACTTCTGCCTCAACTCACTCCCTCAAACAGAGAACACGTTCCGCACACTTCCCACCGAGATTGGATACCTCAAATCATGTTGTGCCCAGCAGCCCCCTTTTCCCACTCAGAACGAGTGCTTCCAAACCACACTCGCTATCATTCCATTCGTCATGTTCAACCTGCAACACCTTCTGGCCCGGATTGAAACCTCGCGAGTGGCCCCAACCATAGTTAAGGCAGGCTGACCAACCAACTTCAGCAAAAACACAAACAGTCAATTCACCACCAAACTAACACTTCCAATTTGGAGGACATTTTTCGCTAAATTCATGGTGTTATAAAAAAAAATCGGATTTAAAGAAATCTCACTTTGTCGTGGAAACCTTTGGAGGAAACCTATACAAGACTTAACTTGTTTAATGGATGAAAACCAATAAATAACTATGCTAAGTTAGTATTGCACTTACAAATCAAAAGCAGTTCATTTATGACGTACGAGTAATTAAAGACAAGTTGGTCAAGCCTGAATGTTGGTCAGGCGAATAACATTGACCCGTACATGCTGGCGAGGAAACTGCACAGAGCGATAGATGGGTGGGGTACGGATGAGAACAGCATCATCAATGTCTTATCCAGCATCACTGGCAAGCAGCGCATACGAACAAGCATCAAGGCCTCTCTCTCTCTCTCTCTCTCTTTCCTTTTATAGACCCCTCCCCCTTCACACTATGGTCACAAAACTATACATCTAACTCCCTCCAACATCAATCAATCGGGTTGAGCCCACCACTCTTTAGGCGTAGATGGTGCCTATGGCACAATCTGCATTTTTCACGCGCTTTCAATACCTCAAAGAAAGCACGTAGGGGATCGGTTTAAATGAGCTAGGGATTTGAACGAGCTTTATCCATTACGTCTGTCGTATGCAATTAGCTATAGATAATCAACGCCAACTCAAACCCCATCTTTTGTTTAGTGCCATTCATGCCAATTGAATGATGCCAATTAACTTCCTAACACTGATCATACTTGCACGCATGTTTTCTCGTTCTTTGCTTTTGAACTATAAGAGGAAAGAGCTGTGCTGTGGCTTGAAGTACAAAGAACTGTTCAACTCCTACTTGAAGAGCGACTTGAGAGGAGACACTTCTGGCTCATTCAAACACTTGCTCATCGCTCTCATGTACTTCCCAGCAGAACACGACGCCTGGTTCGTCAAAAACACTTCTTATATTTACTCTTCACACTTTCCAAGTAACTCGAGTGGTGTAAGAACCATTTGTTAATGGAGCTGCACGGCTTCTCTCAAATCAAGCAAAGGGGGTCTATTCTCCTGATTGCGTTCTCTAATGTCACATTAAAGGCTGACACTTCATTGGATAATAATAGTCGGAGGGGGACTAGCATGGCCCTACTTCGGTGCCACTTAGCACGGAGTGGAACATTTCCAAATCCAGAGAGATCAAGTTATCATAAACAATTTCAAGAGAGCTGGCGTTTGAAGCCCTTCATCTATTACTAATGCAGCAAAAAGCTTTTGACATAGAAAATCTTTGCTTTTCAGGCTTGTTCGAGACGCAATAGCTCCGAGTGGAACAAAACATGATGTCCTAGTAAGAATTCATTTTTTGATTATTTCTCTCAAAAAACGTTGGTTTTCAAACAACCCGCAGATAATAACTGCAGTCATCGAATTGAATTCACTGAAACTAAGTTAAGTTGAACTCTAGCATGTGGGTGCAAATAGGCAATAGGGGGATGGTATTAGGTGGATGTTGTGGCAACGAGTACAGTCAATGAGATGCTGCATGTTCGCGAGGCCTACCAGAGGTTCTACAACGCATCCCTCGAAAAAGACCTGGCCAAGGAACTCAAGGGCCAAGGAGTCTACCGGGACACCATTCTCCACATGGCCACTCGCTACTCCAACCATGTCAACACTACATGGGCACAACAAATTGTGAGGCGAAGCAACCAAGCTTCAAAAGATCATATTTCAAACCTGGTTCGCGTAATCCGAGCTATTTACACAAGCTCAGTTGGAGGACGACATTCTTATTTCGCTCAGCGCTTACACACAACCATGGCCGGGGTGGGAACTAAAGACTCTGAGCTGATCGGACTGGTGACTTCAAGGGTCGAGCGAGATATGAAAGCAGTAGAGGAAAGCTACCTCGAACTATACGGACACAGTTTGGCTTCAGACTTGAAAGGAGATTTGTCTGGAGACACACTTAAACTGATGCTCAAACTCATTTGAAGACATAAGTGAACCACGTTAATGCTCTTTGAACTTCACGAATATTTCCTAATTCACGCTTTTATCATACAACAACCAATTAGAGAAAACTAGGTCAATGCAATTTTTCCGCATGGAAGAACTAAATACTAAAATCCACCTTTGAAACCAAGTTCTTCAAATTTTTTAAATTGTACATTTTTGTGATCGGAGAGCGTAACTTGTCCTCTTCCAGTAAATGAATGTGTCTTGAAGACAAATCGAAATTAAACACAGAGGCAAAACAGCGCATCGCAAACACTAGCGAGAACACAAAAAGCAGCTCTATTAAGTTCAAAAAGAAAGGTAGAAATAAGCATCGAATTAATAAAAATTCGACTACGTCTCGGATTTGATCTGCGACTAAGAGATTATGAGTGTCAAGCACTAATCACTCAGCCACGGACGCTCAATAAATTACAAACACTAGCCACAAAAAAAGCAGAGAACAGCTGCTATGAAACTTCCAATGCTACAGATCATTTGGCTTCAGACTTGAAAAGAGATTTGTCTAGAGACACACTTAAACTGATGCTAGAACTCATTTACAGATATGATTGAATACCGTTAAGACCCTTTGAAAATCAAGAATCTTTTCTGATTGACACGTTTATGATAAAACAACCAAACTTAGCCCATCGAAGATTGGAAAAGAGTAATGAACGCAAGTAAACATAAAAAACACCGACTTTGTGGAAAAATCCCAATTTTCGAATTTCAAAGAAAAAAGATGCCTTTTAAGCTCTTTCAGTTTCTAGAACGATTTATGATTGGCGCTTCTTTAATAACATGAACCCATCTAGAGAAAACTGGATCAACAGGTAAGTTTTCATTCCGCTGGAATCTAAAAACTAAATTCCACTTTCGAAACTAGAAATTGTTCACGTTTTCTCGCGCAATTTCCACGTTCATATTTGGAGATTGCTATTTACGTTACTTTCAGCAGATGAATTTCAATTGAACTCAAAAAGTGCATTCATATATGCATCAATATGTATGAATGCACATCTGTAATTATTAGAGCATTTTAAGACTTTTTTCCTGAATAAACAAAAAACTCACCAAGACCTATATAAGAGTCTTTTCTACGTTCATTACTCTTTCTTAGATAAAATGGGTCAAGAAGTATTTTTCTTAATGGGAGACCTAAATACCAAAATCCACCTTTGAAAGAAAGTCCTTCACAATTTTCAAATTTTTTGGACCATTTACACTTTTGTAACCGGAGTAATTTCTCGTCTTCCAGAAAACGAATAAATCAAGATTAAACCCAGAGGCGAAGCTGCGCTTCGCAAACACTAGCGAGAACACGGCCAAACTCAGCTCTATAAAGTTCAATAAAAGGTAGAAATAAGCCTCGAATTAGTAGAAATCGGGCTACGTCTCGGATTCGATCTGCGACCTAAAGATTATGAGTCTCACGCACTAACCACCCAGCCACGGACGCTTAATAAATGACAAACAATAGCCACACATAAAGCAGCGAACAGATGCTATGAAATTTCTAATGCTACAGATAGTGATTATAGCAAAAGAGCCACAAAATAAGTGAACGCTTTTATTTGCGAGTTAGGTTAGAAAAAAAGAAGTTTTGTACTACTACTACTACCTTACTCTTCGCAAGATCGCTAGTGTAAACAGCAAAACTTCCTGAAAAAGTACAAGAACTAAATAAGTGTTGGTCAAAATAGGTGTTCATTGACACTTAAACAACGTGATTTTTGCAGAACATGTGATAGTGTTGAATAGGAGAAAAGCACCACCAACCGATATGTGAGAGCTCTCGTCTTTTCTCCTCCTGAGAGAACTTGAAGTTCTGATTCTCACAAATGAGTCTGGTCTTCTCAGCCATCATGGTATTCGTCCTGCCAGACAAATACTCGATCCGTTCCAACTTCTTCTGCATGCTCTCAAACTGCCCAATTAAACTGTTCACTTGCGCTAATAAACTATTCCTCTCCTTTCGCTTCTGCTGCACTACTAATGCGTTAGTGTGAATCAGTCGCAATCTGTGGTCGTCTAGCACTTTGAATTTGTCTTGGGTGAAGTTCACCTCACTCAAGTGCTTCAGCAGCGGAGGTTCGATTTTCGGATAGATGGTAGAACTGTTGAAAGCACCAATATTTTGGATAGAGTCTAAAGAAACCATTTCATTTTCACAGCTTTTGAGATTGGGTTAAGTCGAACTTCTAGATATCAAGACATAATTCAACAAAACAGTATTGATTTTTTGAGTTTTAATTAACATCAATTTTTAGCAAGCTCTAAATCCTCTTTGTGGCTCATTTTTTGTTAAATTCAAACAAATGTAAAAAAACACATTTTTCTAAAGACAACTGTCATTAAAAGAACTTATTGGACTGCTTTTCAACAGCACAGAGTTCATCGAAAACTTCAAACATTTCATGACGAGACGACATGACGTTCACTCGTGGAAAAACACAACATTTAACATTAACACACGAACATTTAGCAGTAACAATTGGAATGTTCAGAAATCTCCATGACACAATGGGAGCCGAGAGATGATGCAACAGATAACATACCTGGACTGCAATAGTATGAGTCATTGAAGACCAACACTAGACTGTTGGGTTTGAACTGCAGCTGGGACAGATAGTAGATGGAGGAGCCCACGAACTCAGTCGGCTGCAAGTCCATCATCTCCATGCTTCCTCCACTCTGTATGGAGGAGCCAATGAACAGCAGCTTGTCAATGTCTATTTTCCACCAGTGCAGCCCCACCTCACTTTCATGTTTCGTGAAATGATACAAATTGCTACATTTCTATGTTTGCTCTCGACTTCGCCCAAAACAACAATGAGTTCTTTGGATCTACTTAACAATCCCCCCCACTATGGTGCCTACTTAAGAATCTCCACCCCTATAAATAAATACAGTAAATTAGCACAAGAGCTTGTATTGAGAATTCGAATTTTGCTGCATTCTGTTTGGTCAAAAAATCGACCATTTTGATCTACTTAACAATCTCCCCCCCCCCCCCCTCCTTTCTTGAAACGGTGGAGATTGTTAAGTAGATCCAGTTCTTTTATGGTGAACAAAATATTCAGACAAAATAATTTTTGCGACATCATGAAAAGTGTACTATTTTTCCAGCTCTTATTGTTATTGGTTATCTTAAAACAGCAATAAAAATCAGAAAACAATAAAACACCAACAGAAATGAAACCGAAATCAATTGTAAGTATAGCGTAGTTTTGCGACCCTGGACATGCACCATCTATTGTATCATTTCACCTGTTTCCATCGCACAACTCAAGAAGAAACGACTTGGTAGACAACAAATTGTCATATTCTGTGTCTGATAACTTGAAGTTTCTGTAGATGAAATCTTTTCGCTTGTCTAATTTCCTACTATAATGCAACAAACTGCCAGATAAAGACTTGAAGCAGACGTTGATGTGTTTCGAGTGATTTCCTCTAGTCTGCAGACAGGAGACATTGCGGAAGATGAGTTCTGAGATGCTTCGCATTCGTCGCTGGTATAGAATGCCCTCGAAGTGAATGCCCAAATTGTGACGCCTGGGCGCACAGCGCACATCACTAACTATTTGCATCAAACAATCTGAAATAATTCACAACTGAATTTTGAAAATTTTAAGGAACCAGTCTCAAAAAATCTTTCCATATCTAATTTCTGACGCTTTCAAATCTATAAGAATTTATGCCTCAAAGCTACTCATAAAACGAAATTTCAAAAAATTTCCAAAAAATCGAATGTTCCAAAAATATGTGCCAAAATTTGCAATATAACCGACTTGTCGTCAAGTATTGCCATTTTGCTTTGAAAGTCTTAGGTTTTAATTGTACTGTGAGTTTGACGAATCTAGCCTTTTAATTAGCAAACAAAGCCTCAAAAAGAAAATGTTGTATCTCCAACGCTTTATTCAGATTCAAGGAAATGCAAGCGTACAGGAAGAGTGAGATTTGGATTAATCAAATAGTCCGAATCCCATGTCATCGTCTGATTCTTCCTCAGATTCTTCTTTCTTTTCCTCCTTCTTTTCGACGGCTGCGCCTGCGTCACCAGAAGCAGCTGCGCCACCAGAACTGGCAGCAACTGCCCCACCTCCGGATGGGACTGAAGCCAGTTTGGAAGATCCAGCGCTGATCAATTCCTATAATGGAAACTATCACTGCAAAAAAGGCACTTAAGGAACACAAAAATTTAAATCGCGGTGCTAGTTTACTTTTTTTGGTCCCTCAAAATTGCTGTGATCCTTAATAAAAAACATAGATACAGTATTTGGGTTCATTCGCACAGCAAGCATCTTAATTTCCCTATCTTGATGACCCAGCTGGCTTAGTTATAGCTTAATAATAATAATAATAATAAACAAGGATTTAGACATAAAGCCATGGGGCTAAAATGCCCCGCGTTGGGAGTTTTAAACTGAGTTTTATAGTTTCTTTGAGTTTACACAGCTATTGCAGCAGTTTATTCTCCATGTGCATGGGACACTTTCCTCATATTTACTGATGAAATATATCCAGAAAACGTTTTTGAGGCTTGATTTGAGTCTTTCGTATTTCATCGCAAACAGGTCTTCTTCTTCCTGAGTCTGTAAAATTTTGTTTGCTAGTATAGGTGTTCTGTGCCAGAAATTGCTTTTCGATTTTTCGTAATGATAATTTTTATGCGCTAAGTTATTTTTCGTTGATCTTCTTGTTGGGGCTGTAGATTCTTTGAACTGAACAAATTGTCTCCAATGGAAGTTGTATTGGTCGTTTATTATTTTATGAAGCAAGAGAATGTCGTGCATTTCGTGGTAGAGAGACAGTGGAAGCAGGTTTAATCTAATCAGTCTGTCTTTATAGTTGATGTTGTTACATGACAGTATCCAACGTGTAGCTTTTTTTGGACATCTTCAATAATTTTTAATTCACACTTATTTGCTTTCCATATGGGTGAGCCATATGACACAATTGGGGTTACATATCCACAGTAGGAGTTCAGTTTCATTTTTAAGCTCGCTGATTTTGAAATATTTCTTTTAATTAAAAATAAGCAGCCTATTGCTTTTTGGGCTCTTTTTTTTGCGTGTGCTGACCAGTTTAGGTTGTTGGTTATTTGTATACCAAGGTCTTTTTCTGAACAGGTTTTTTCAAGTATATGGTCACCGAGATACATGTTTAGGTCAAGTTGGGGGTCTTTGAATATTATATTGCGACATTTGTTCAAATTAAGACTCATGGAATTATCTTTGCACCATAAGTTGATCGTGATTAGGTCATGTTGGAGCAGGGAAGGGTTCGTTGCAACAATTTTATAATCGTCTGCGTAACCATAGCACGAGTTGGTGAGTGATGACGGTAAATCGTTGATGAATGTAATGAAGAATACTGGCCCTAACAGTGAGCCTTGAGGTACGCCGCTACTAACTTCAAGATGGCTGGATACTGCCGCACCTATTCGTACTTGCTGTTTTCTGTTGGTTAAGTAGTTTGCTACTAGTTTAAGTGCGTTTCCTGATATGCCAAATTTATTGAGTTTATATATGCACAAGTCGTGAGGAACTTTGTCGAAAGCCTTTTCGAAGTCTAAGTATATTGCCTGTAGAGACTTGATATTAGGGTTATCAAAGTCATCATAGATTTTGTCGAGGAATTGGAGCATTTGCAGAGTTGTCGATCGTTTAGGACAGAAGCCAAATTGGCTGTCATGGATTTGCGAGAAGATCTTTGGTAAGATTTTAAGGAAGATCAGTTTCTCTAAGACTTTGGATACTGCAGTTAGCAGGCTGATGGGCCTGTAGTTTGTGACCGATTGCTTGTTTCCATTTTGAAAAGTTGGGATAATTTGGCTAAGTTTCCAGATCGTTGGAAATGTTGCTTTGTTGGTGATGGTGTTATAAATCAGTTTTAGAGATGAAGTTATGCTATCTGCTAAATTGGTTAGGACTGTGTTACCGAGTCTATCTGGTCCTCTTGCTTTTTGGAGGTTTAATGTTTTAAGGATGTCGTATATCTCATTTTCAGAGAAATTGAAGCATTTGATTGAGCCAGGTAATTCAGCTATTGGTAAAATGTTTTCATTCTGTTTAATGTTAAAAACGCTTACGAAGTAATTGTTTAGAAGATTAGCTTTACCGTGCTCTGTTGATTCGGTTTTTTCATTCCAGTACATTGTTTTTGGAGTACTTGAGTTTTTTTCGTATGCTTTTAAAGTATTTTTGGAGCTTTGAGAAATTTCTGCCCTTGAAAGTTGATTCTTCGAAATTTTTCTGATCTAATTCGGATAAATGATCTACAAGGTTTTTAAGTCTTTCAAGATTGCGGTTATTAGTATGAGTATTTTTAAAGACTACTTTTTTTGATGCTGTGTTGAGTCTTTTGATAATATTGGAGGTTTCAGGTGTGATCCAAGGTGCTAGGTACATACGGTGTTTGGTCTGTTTTTTCATGTGTTTTTCTAGTGCTATATATAGCCAGAGGTACCATGAGTTGATTAAGTGGTCAATGTTAGAGTAGCAGTACGGTTGAAATGGGTGTTCCAAAATGTATTTGTTTAAAGTAATCCAATCGACGTTGTTTAATGAGAAGACACCAAAGTCCAGAAAGTCGGATCCGTGTTGTATGGGAGTGGCTTTTTTGTCATTGTGTGTAAGAGATGATATCGTGATTAGAAAAAGGGTTGTGGTCTGATAATTCTCTTTCTTGGTGTGAGAAGTGTTTTTTCATATGGTTGTCTATCGTGGTGTTTAAAATAATGTCGGGGTTGTTGCAAAGGACAATATCTAATTGGTCATGAAGGGGTTCGATAAACTGTTGAAAGTTCATATCAGTAAAAGTCTGCAGTACTAATTGTTCGTGTTTTTGGGTTGATTGCAAGGTTTGCCAATGCTTATTAGCGAAGTTGATGTCACCAACCAATAAAATATTTGGGCATTGAAATTCATTTGAGTAGTCAGTTAGCATATTCAATAGTTTGTTGAAGTCATCTGTGGATAGCTTATATTTGCTTTCGTTCGGGGCACTGTAGATACAGCATAGGATGAGAGGTGTCGGAGTGTTAAGGAGGAGTCCAACGCAGTCCGTAGTGTGTATTTCAAGTTTTGTGAAAGCTAGGGATTGCTTAACAGCAATAAGCACGCCCCCGTGTTTCGATTTTGTTGAGTTGGTAGGTCTATCACATCTAGTTATTATGTGTGCAGGCAGAAAAAGCGCGTTGTCAGGGATATTTTCAGTTAACCAAGTTTCGCTTAAGCAAATGATGTCATAATCATTCGATAGTATTATATTGCTAAGTTTCATACGTCTATTTATATCCAGTATACTTCGTGTATTGAATGACATAACATTCAGCGATTCTAGTCAGTTGTCATTTCTAGTCTGAGTTGTGCTGTTTTCCTCCGGTTTAATTGTAACTTTTGTCCAGGTGTCGTCTACTTTTTCATGCAGTTCTAGGTTTCTGATTCGAAGATTTTTGGGGTTTTTACCACTGCTGATGAGATTTCTACGTTCTCTCAGGATGGCGTTTTCCAATTTCATTTCTTCGACTGAGAGTTCCTTACTTATGAAGACATTTTTGTCATAACTTTTGAGGGCCGGTGTTGATGATAGTATCAAGTCTATTTCTCTTGGACAGGTTACTCGTACCAGTATAGTTCTGTGGTTTGCTCGTTCTTCGCTGAACTTTCCCACACGCTTGAGATCAGTGATATTGCATTCGAGGTTTAAGAATTTCATGATTTTATTTACCTCATCATAGTCATGGTCAAGTCTTTTTCTTCCATCTCTTTCCTTGATCTCGGGGACCCCTCTTATTCTCAATCCTTTGCTCAGGGGTTTGATTATGTTTTGCGCCGCTACTTGTGACCAGGTTTTACCCTGTTCTGCTATTGGCAGGCTTTGGATGGGATCTTTAATATTTTCCATTTTTGTCGAGACTTCGGCTACTACTTTACTTAGTTTTGAAATTTCTTCTTCAATTTTTTTGATGTTTTCACTTTTGTCATGTGATGCTGTGCTTCTGATTACTTGATCTCTTTTTCCGTTGGACATACAGGTATTGCATATCAGTAGTGCGTTGTTACCAAGTTCCAGTATTCCATTGAGTGCAACGGTCGAGAGGCCAGTGCAGACAACTTCAAGGTGCATAGAGCAATTACAGGTGATGCAATTGTATATTGGGTCATTTTCGTTTATGGGTTTCTTGCATGTTTTGCAAGATTTTTTTTTGTCCTTTGACATTCTCAGTTTTATTTATGTTTACGTCCTCTTATCTCTGTGGAAACTGTGTTTGGGGATGAAGGTTTAGGTAGTGTACTCGAGTCCTCAGGGTGGTACCTAAAGGGCGCCGGTTGAGGACTGAAGTATCAGTGTTAGGGTTATGAAAACAGTTGTTTGGGACCTTAAGGGTACTTGATGACTAGCGGGAGAAAACGGTTTTATTTATAGATGTGAATTCACAAAGACATCAAATCTGGCGATACCTAAAGGGTATCAATAGAAAATTCAGTCTCTGTGAAAATGATGACACCGACAAGTGTTGTTGCCGCAGTGGTATATATTCGAGTAGCCCTCGCTATCAGTTTTTACACAGAACTTCTTGTAGATGATCTTCTTTTTCAAAATCGTTTGGAGACTCGCAAGCGATGCTGTTGTTAAATGCACTTCGTCGGAAGATAGAACAGTTTTGGTGGTTATTCCTTTCGATATACCGCGATATCGCCAGAGTTCTTCCTTTTTGCGAAGAATATCGTTTACACGTTCCGTTCGGGCTGGTCTTCCGAGTCTGGGTGGTAGAGCGATAATGAAAACTTTATTGCAACGTTCTGTCAACCGTAGGCCAAGTTGGGATAATTCTTCAGCAACGTCTTCGGGTGTTCTCATTGAGTCTTTTTTGTCTTTCGTAAACAGATCGTTCGCACCAATGAATAGAGCTATAATATCGTATTCGTTCCTGCGGGCAAGAAGTTTAGAACATCAGCGATACCTGCACCAGGAAGGCTGAGGATATTGAAATTTGGGAAAGTTAGATTTTTCAATTGTGAGTCTCCGATCAACAAGTGTTGCGACGACGATTTCTTGAATATGTGAAATCTCATTGGTTTTCACCCATCCACGGCTAGGAACGGACGGGACTTTTTTCGTTTCGAATAAGGTGTTCTTGTTCCTAGCTACAACTTTTCTATTTAATAAGTTTATATACCGCGATATCGCCAGAGTTCTTTCTTTTTGCGAAGAATATCGTTTACACGTTCCGTTCGGGCTGGTCTTCCGAGTCTGGGTGGTAGAGCGATAATGAAAACATTTTGTCTATTTAATAAGTTTATCTTGTCTATTTAATAAGTTACCAGCGGGTACGAATTTGGTTACCAGCCCCATAGTCTAGCTTCGAATCCCGCGCTTGCTTTTATTTTGAAGAAATAGGCTGGAGCAATCATCTAAACTAGTTTTCTCACTGGACATAAGTAAACTTGCACCTAAATCGCCTTATTTTGCTGTACTAAACGGATCGACGAGGCACACCCCTCAGACAAAACGTAATTCAACGTAAAAAAAACTAGCTCACACATCCGCGACCTGCTGTTTGCATTGTAATCGTACCTTTGATGACTATGATTTGGTAATTCAGTTTTTATCCAATAAGAGCGCATACTTCTTTACAGGGGCAGTTTTTAAAAATGATTTCTATTTAGAATTATTTTATTTTAAACTATATTTCTAATTATGTTTACCTCAATACTTTTTCCTTCTAGCTTTCCTAGAACAGTTCCGAGAAGTTTATCATCAACTTCAGCCCCAATTGCTTCCAAAACAGCGGTAACATTTTGTTTGTTGAGATTCTTTCCGCCCAATTGGACAAGCATACAAGCTGCAAGATATTTCATTTCCGAAACTGTAAAGAGAAGAAAAACAAGTCAGAGCATATTGTTTTCAAAGCAAACTCAAATACATGGACAGACGCGAGTTCTTACCAGACAACAAAACATTCGCTCACTCTGATCTCACAGGCGCGGTCGGCGCCAATACATGTTCATTTCGGCATAGAACTTTTAGATCGTTACCGCTTAGGGTGATGTCCCATTTGTAACAACGTTAATTTGTACCAAAATCAAAAATATCGGTCCCATTTGTACCAAAATTATTCAACTCGATTTCCGATTGGTCGAATTGTGAGCCAACGAATTATTACATTAATTTTCTACTGTTCAAACAGAAAAAAACTAAACAGCAGAATAGTGACCGCCGCAACCGCGCCAACGTGTTGCGAGCTTGCCAACAGAAGGTTGGACTCTATACGAAAATTAGAGCCAGTTATCGCCGCAAAGCGGCGACGCGCTTCCACCGGTGACCTTCAACCAAGAGCTTAAAATTGTCGGCTTAAAATTGTCGGATAAATAACATTTGTAAATTGATGTTTTATCGTCATTTAGAGTAGTTTATTGTAAAAATCCTGACGATGCACATAGTTGCGAAAACGTTTGAAATTTACTTTTTAGCAAAAATTTCTTCAATTTTACTTGTAAATTCGTGATAAACCAAAAAGCGAAGAGCTTGAAATTCAAATTGTTTTCCCATTAAAGGGCCAGTATAAAAATTTTTAATGATTTTCATCAAAGTATAGAGAATTTTTATAGTGTTTTTTTATCGATACGAAAAAAATGGCCGATTTTTATTTGAGTTACCGAAATGTTTCATATTGTAGCAGCTAGCTCCCTGTTCCACAGCATCAACACCCTTAACACAGGGGGAAAAAGCAATACGAGAGCCTTGTTACAGCAATTCCTGGCCTATCCCTTAATAACAACTTGCTGAACCAAGGAAAGAACCTCCGACGACTACTGGAAGACAGTCCACTGAAGGAGAAAAAAGTGGTTGTGTGGCACGACGTGGTGAACAACACCATTAGCAGCCACAGAATAAACAACTATCGCCCAGCCGGTGTCGAGGAGCTGACAAACTATTTGAAGACGAAGAAGCAGCAGATATTGGCGATCGTTTATTGCAGAAGGGAAGCCCCACTTGTTTAGTCAGCTTCTCGGTACAGGGGTGCTCATTATTCCAGCTACAAAACGACTGTAACATTCGTCTACTGCAGTCACACATGAGGCTTAAGAAAAATAGGCCCTATAACCACTGGCTCAAGGGTCAGGGACACTATCTCTTGTGTTTTTCTACCTCAAGAACGGTCGGAGCCAGTTCGGTTCGCTTGTGACATGAGACTACGACCCGTTACAGCTTAAAGGCTACTACTAAAATATCCCCCCACTCTAGAATTAGAAACGTCCCCATACTTAGGTCTCTAGATACCCAAAATACATGAACGCCGTTAAAAACCGGGTTGGAACAATCCGTTAAGTTACTTTTTATTAGACAGTGGAACTTTGATCCATTTCAGATGGATCAACCTAAAACTCGCCTTACCTCAACATAACAATCATAAAACACACTCTAGAAATTTAAATTAAGGACTCACATGTTGATGCGCTCAAGCACAGGAAGTAATTAAATGGGTGAGCAACTCTAGAATTAACTAAAGTAACTAGATAAGTTCAATGTTTATCAGTTTGAATGGTAAGGGTAAGTTTGAACTCAAGAACGAAGTTTTATGTGGACCATTGGGACACTCAAGCTGTCCACCTTTCCGTCGAAGGTTCACTCTGGTTCAGTTCGAATAATTACTCTCTCGGGAATACTCTGTCTTCTATTTCAGATAGGACAGCTCTACTCTTGTTCACTATGATGGAAATTGCGAATAGCAATTTCCCACTCGTTTTTATCTGACAACTTTCCTGCTCTTGTTCTAAAATTGTTCTCCTTTCTTTTTCTGATTTTCAGTTATCGCGAGAAAATCGTGCATGACATGTTCCATTCGAAATTTTGAAAAATTAAATTTCACTCCAAAATCAAGTGTTTTCTGCTCTTCTCAAGGTCAAACTTCCAAATATGACCGACTGGCACATACTCCCCGGACTCGAGATCGATGTCCTCATCGCGTGCTGTTTTCTGCCAGTGAGTCCCAGAAAACCGAGTGTTGCTCAAGATACAGTGCCAGTGGTCATTTACAGAAGTTTGCAGCAGACTTAAGCTTATCTACACCCCAAAATTCACAGCCATGTAAAATTTTCACACTATTGCTAAACAGCAATCAAAATCTGCATTTACCTGCACCTTTGAATTTTCGCTTTTCAAGCCAATCATTTAAAAATCTCTTTTGTCCTATTCAATCAGGAAATTGTCATGCAGCATTTTGATTTATATAATAAATATAGTATATTAGTAACAATATTTGCTTTGTTAAAATTTCTTTTTCGTGAATCCAAGTTTCACTCGGATTCACACTCAAGCCCCCTTTCCCTCTCAAGACTCAAGATCCATCCGATTTGCCCATTCATCTCGTACTCTTCGCCTTGGAGGTACTGCATCCTGAAGTGCTAGATGCGGCAAACTGTCTCAACAGTTCCTCTTCATCATCGGAACTAATCACAATCTCCTCCCAAGCCTTCAGCTGTTCATAGGATCGCATCCATTCTCTCTGCTCCTGCAATCTCTTTGCTTGGTTGGGTAGTGCCTTCACCCTAGCTTCTCGGTTCAAGCAAAAGGAGTTGTGCAGGCTCAAGCTCACGTTCTTCGCCAGGTCTTCCTCTAGTATCGACTCCCTCGCCTTGGTATTGTCTCTAGACATCTTACCCACTCTCTTCCATCCCGTCGTGATCGCATTACGATGGGTTAGCAGGGGTCTCTTGAAAGCTTCCGGCCCAATCTCGGCCTGGAACTGTCGATACTCCTTTTGATGTTTTCTCATGTGATCTTTCGTTGCCCTGTACAACCAAGACGTCAGTGTCGCCCGAAACCATGGAAAGTACCTCAAGCGACTCCATACGTGCCTGACTTCCGTCGGTATGGCGAATACTTTGCACGCAGTCTCAAACAACTCGAGTCTCCTGCTGTAGTCTATCGCGTATATTGACTCAGCCGTTGGCGTCGTCGCCTCCCGATACTTCGTTATATTCTCTTCTATCCATCTCAGAGCTAACATCGTACTCACTACTAAGAGCGTCACCTTCTGCCGGTGATCCGGTAGTCCGATCGACCGAATCTCTTCCACATCCCACACCAGGCAAAGGTTCTTGTGATCTGGATACCACACCGTTTGTGCCAAACAGTGGCATGGGCATTCCCCATGAGAGATCTCAATGCTCCTGAGATTACGCTCCCCTGAGGCTTCCAAGAGAGGCTCAAGCTCCATCATTTTCTCGTGCATCGTGTCGTTGTCTTCCAGGTTCGGAGTACTTCCCACAGGTTTCCCGATCACGTTTTGTCTCTCGTGATCGCTCGTGTTTTCTCTTTCCAACTTCAGAAGATCTTCTCCCCAGATTTCGCTTAAGTCATCTCTCAATTCTTTTGGTACTGTCCCTTTGATTTTTCTCAACAACTTGTGCGAGTGATGCGACATCCGAGCCAACCTCACACACTTGGGCACTGAGAAGGCCTTGTCCACCAGTATTCTCTGGCTGGACACTTCCATCATCGCCATGTGTAGCGGGTAGTGACTTCCGCACAAGTTGGCCATCATTGACCCTATCAGCGATTTCGCGTTCAATGGCAAGCCATAAGCTTCGCTCAGGGGAAATCCCATTTCCGCCTCAAGACCAACTTTCCAGCTCCGGATGTGTTTTTGAGTCACCTGCAACACCCCGGGCCATGATTCTACGCTCAACGCCGTCACTAAATGATGTTCAGACTCCAGTCTCTCCAGTGCCTGCAGACCACACATTCTCGAGAAGAATCCGAGAGCTGTCGCTATATTCACCGTGGTTCTCGCGTAACATTCCGCTATTATTTGCACTTCACTTTTCTCCCTTTCTGTGATGTCTTCGAACCAAGTGACCAGGTCTTCTTTTTGAAACGACAGTACTCTGACGCATGACCGTCCATCGCAGATGTGCTCTCCGTTCCCACACGTCGAATCCAGACAGCTACCCGGCTCCAATTTCTTTGCTGACCCGGGGTCGCTCGTCCTTTCGCTTGGCTCTTGCATCTGGGGTGTGATTAGCTTATGTAGCACACTCAACTTCGCCAGATCTTCATCTTCCGTTGGTGCTAACCTCACTCGCTCGGTGGTTTCCTCGATTAGACTCGCATGGGGATGTGGACACCAGGAGGGTCTTAGTAGCTTCCATATCACTCCCAAGTTCGTGGTTAACAAGCCATCTCCACCGCCCATGTTCACTTCAACTCTCTTGTTTGAGCGCGGTATGCTTATCACCTCTGGTGTTTTCTCAAGAATCAGGCCCAGGCTCGGCCCCTCTTTCTCCACCGCGTCTATCTCCATTATTCTTTCTGTCCAAAACTTCAGTAGCTCCGCTACCTCATGGTTTCTGTGGGCTCCTCCAGCTTCCGAGTCTAAGAAGGGATTGTAGGCTATTCCCATCACTCCAGACACATATTGGTATTCCCCCTTCTCACTGAGTCTCGAGTACTGTTCTGACGAGGCCAGGTTACGGTGAACATCATGTTCTTCCTCGAACTTCTTATTAGAGAACCTCCGTACCTCGTCCAGCTTTCGATGGTTCTCTAAGGATAGTCTGGAACCATCTTCTTTCTCTATTCCTGTACTCTGATATACGTTCAAGATGATCGTTGAGACTCTTCTCTCCATGGTTTTACTTCCACTTGCTCTCTGGTGGCATGCCAGGATGGTGCTATCAGACATCATTGACATTGTCCATCTCAAGAAACATGTGGCATCTTTTCTCCTAGCCAGGCTCAAGCCTGAATTGTCCCTGGCCACGTGTTGCATCAGTGCCTGATACACCTCTAGCTTCTTGCTTCCCAACTTCAGCCTGTCATACGAGGTCAATGTCTCCAACTCTATTCCCACCAGACTC